ATGACTTGTTAAAAGCAAAGCGTACATGTGTAACACACAACGCTCAGGTAAAGGACGCCATTTTGTTGTTGTTGTTCTCGTTCATCTAACACGGCGCTTTATAAAAAATTTCGCGCACAATTTACTTATATTTTAGGAAGAAAGATTTTGAAGTCGCGATGTTAATGAGAATTTAAACCGAACACGTTGATATCCTGTCATGTTTGTCAAATCACATTTATGAAGCATTAAATTGTGTTTGGAAAAAGGTATTCTGGTGCCGAGTTGTATCCGGCTGTTCTGATCGTCATATGCAGTAAAAAGGAAAACTTTGCGGGTGCTTCAGTAGGGAACTTCCCACAAAGTTCGTAAGGTGTTTTTGCCGGGGCTGGCAGTTGAATTGCGAAATATTTGCCTATAAATAAAGGGCGATAATCATTGCTCAAGTTAGAATCGTTTGTTCAGCTGAAAAGTATTTTCGTAAGATTGACTGTTTTAGCAGCAGTTTTGATTCAAGGAGATGCACAATCTTTGCTGGTTTGAATTTGATGGAATGAAGTTGCTTGATTACTCATAAAGCCAGCACGGTAATATATATATACTAGAGTGTAGTTTTTAATTTAGTATATACAAATTCGACTTCTGTAGAGCCGCTTGTAAATTTAATTTAACTTAGCTTGGTTTATATCTTAGCTCACGTAGCAATGGATGTTATCTTTAACTTTCAGACATTAGGCCATCTTATTTCAGGGCAAATGCAGGAATGTACCATGCGAAATAAACTTGTTTATTCGGTCGACCTATGTTACTAGGCCATCTGGTTCGAGACTGAGTTTAAATAAAACAACCCTAATTTTTCCTAGCATTATTTCACAGTATAATTTTTGATTTAACAATCCAATCAGTCGAATGACTGACGCAGTTATCAAATTCAGGTATAATATGGCATCGTATAACTTTCGCCCTTCAAAGATTTCATCCCATCTTTGAATGTCTCAGTTACCATTGGTTCATACCTAAGAACTGTGCCTATAAAAATGAATGCAGACATATTCGAATTTGTATCGCTGTTCTTTCGTGTAACTGTAACGTAAACTCTAATTGGCGAAGTTGTGAGCAACTATTTATCGTAGGTTCGTCTCGTGAGAATTGACGTTTTTGAAACATGTCTATATTACCTATGTTTAAATAGTAACCTAATGTGGTTTGAAAAGTTTATAGCAATCGACTGCATGCGGCTTTATTCGTTTGTATAGGATTCTCCAGATAAATTTCTGTTTCGCGACCTTGGCGAACGAAATTGTTTTTCAATAACCGGTATTGTGCAAGATATCGGCCTTCAACCGCGTCCTATATTTTTTGGCGGCAATAGTGTACAAATTCAAATGCAGACCGCGGAAGAGGCGTCATCGAACGGCCTTTGTTCCTATCCTATTCATTTCGCGTTTCCTATGGCGTCATATTTCATATTTCGCGTTTCATTTTGTTAGTCCCAAACATATTCTGATAGACAAAGCATTCTCACAACTTGTTTTTCTTTGGTTGAATTATACACCGTAATCTTACTTTGACAGTGCCATGGGCATTTACATTTTAAATTCCCAATACTTCGCTGATTTGGCTTGTGAATGACAAGCTGCCATATTTCAGAATCATTAGCCAAGCCAAGATAACTTTTCAGTGACTATCTATTTAGAAAATGTTGTCGAAAATTTCAGCAATAATTATTGGAGACCTGATTGTTCAAATGACGTTTCTAGTTTTAATTACATGGCATTATTATTTTTTTTAATTTCAAGAAAACTTAAAACGTGTAATGTTACCAGATGGATATTATGGGCATTTCCTTTATAAAAGTGGGTGTGGGACCCCACACGACTGGGCTGTATGTTGCTTAACAGTGTCCCGGCCAGACCGGATTTACCTATACCCATATAATATATACTAATACTATAATAATACAATATATGTAGTAGTAGGAATACAATCAGTAATATAATAATAACAGACAGTAATCTGCGATTAACCGCAGTTATGTCCAACACTCTATGCTGCTTAACTTCTTCATATTGATGAGTATCACAATACCCACGGTTTATTATCAACGCCCACTCACCGATTATTACTTGTCCAACGCCGACTAGTGTGTTCTATATTATTCTCAAGGACAAACTGTGGGGTGTGAGGCGATGTGTCCACAGTGGGTGGATATAAATTTACACTTTCCGTGCCAAGGACGTTTATGTACGTCATTTGGTACATACCGTTCAGTGTCGCGGATGTATCTATACGCCATTTAAGAAGGAAAAAAGAAAAATATAGTAGAAGTTGAGGTACAGGTATTTGCGGACGTTTTTCTTTCATCTCCGTCTCTTGATACGAACGTGGGGGAAAGTATGACCTAGTCAAATGCATGGAATCATTCGAATTTAAGTGCGAAGGGAATAGCGTCTGACATTTAGTAAAATATCAACTTTTCTAACATGGCCAGTGTACATAATAACCGTATTTAATGGAGAATATCACGTTGAGGCCGATTGACGCCATCACATCTGGTTCAACTGATGGATGTAGATAATCAACTTATCAAACATGGTCAATTTGTGAATTCATCGTAAACCGCATAACTTTTACCAAGAAGACATACGCAAGCTACCCACACGCTATGTTACACCCGGCCGAAGATTAGATAATTTACATATCAGTTAGAATATATGCTCTACTCAATTGGAATCCATTTTATTGTGTTCCGTTAGTTTGTTTGTTTTCAAGCTGTCATGATACCGAAAGTCTTACGTGTGCATTGAGCGAAGCTGTTCTGTAATAAACAGAACACGGCGCATTTGCTCACATGGCGCTGTATACGTTAATTCAGCTATGCGATACCATAGATAATACAAAATATTTAAGGTATCTTTTAAACACTAGCCCATGATATTCCGAAACCTTCTAAAAACACTAAATAATTAAAATTTCATTCTGAATTATAACTATATACTTAACTAAATTTGATTTTTTCATTGCTAAATAGTCGTTTGCCCATATTTTATTGGATTATCTTTACGAAAGACTTGGCAAAATTATTTGAGCGGATAAAACAGACGAGATAGAAAAAATAATAATTTTGTTAGAAAATACGCGCGTAAATAATACTTCAAATATCTATTTTAAAGCAGGGATGTGCAATCTGCGGGCCAAATGCGGCCCACAAAGAAAAATTATGCGGCCCGCGGTGAAGTGCCCATTTTGAATGATGTGCATCAAGCGAAACGAGTTTTTAATTTAGTTCAATTTGTTACGTGCGAGTAATTCCAATCCCTTTGCGATGCAAGGCCTGTGCGAAGCAATTTTTGTGCTTGCAACTGCTAAAGCCTATGTTAAAAAAGGTGCGGCCCGCAAATTTATTCAGGGAATCATGTCCGGTCCTTCTGTATTAAATGTCATACATCCTTTTTTGAAGAACTATTTAGTTAATAGTCACGGAGAACAGTCCCGTTAGCTGCTTTCCGGATATCAACTGAATTAGGCATGGTGATTTTTTGCGATAATTTGATTTGACTTGTACTGGGTTAAGACATATGTATATGGACGATTACAATCGTACGGGAGGGTGACCGTACATTTGAACTCACGTACATCTGAACCCATACATTTGCACTCGTATATCCGTGGGTTCAATCTATATGAGGGTGCTAAAATCCATGGGTTAGTGTTAGTATGGGTTCAAATATACGTAAAACAAAAAAAAATTCCATAGGTGCAATAGTATGCAGGTGCAATTGTCGTGGGTTCAAATGTACGTGGGTTCAACTGTAATGTAACCTACGGGAGAGACCGTGGTGGTCGGTAATTTACAAAATGTGTCCTTATGAGATCATGTATACATGTGGATATATATACCCCTAAATAACTCGCCGATTATGCGGCGGTTAACCAATATAAGCAATTCAACCAGAGAACAATTCACCGTGGATACAATGTAGGGCTCCCGTTTCCAATTACATTCGAAAGTTCATTTGAGCACGACAAATGTGAAAAACTGAAAGTTGCCGCCCAAGTGAGGTTGCCCATTCTCGTTTTCAATCGCAGAGTGCATCAGTCTGTTTTCCCGTAAAACTCGCGTTTGGCCTAATTATCCTAGCGTGGCAGTCTAAAGCCTCCAGATCAAACTCTGTATTCACCCCAGTTTAATAAATAGGGCTGGCAATGCAGAACCGAAAAGTGCGAATTTCTGCTAAAATCAGTTCCGCCTTCATCAGTCAACGGGTGATAGTACAGAGCCTTGTTCGTAGGAAAATTGAGAAAACGCGACATTAGAACTTCCGAGGTGCATATTTTAAGAAAAGTTTGATATATATTGCCGTCATCAAAATGATTTATTGAATTTCAAATACTTTTAGCGAAGATAGACAGAAGTCCGACCCCAGGGGGCACGGATTATCTCGATCCGGTCTTAATTAACATTCGTAATTTTACTTCCATAACTCAGCCCGCAATCAGGCGCGCCAGAAGTGTGTGTACCAATATGGTGGTAATTAATTTTATTCGCCTACTCTACATCAAGTTGTGTAAAGGGACGGAAACCAACGGCTTCATTTTATACTTATACCTTCAATAAATATCTGTATGTTACTTAACGTTGTCCAGGTCAGACCCGATTTACTTATACTTATATAATATGTACTTATGGTAATACCATATAAGTAGTAGGAATACAATCAGTATTCATTTGGTATTTTATATTTATTTGGCTAACACAGACAGTCGCCGAACTCGTCACAGAACTAAAATACGGAAAATCGGAATATAATTATGGCCTAAACCTAACCTGATACACACACTACTGGAGTGCCCACACTCGGACAACCTAAATTTAAATTTGAAACTGAACAATTGAGTTAACATCGGTAATATGGTTTAGGAACCTTGGCTTCGAGGGGTTGTACGTTATTATGAAATTTATATTATTTAAATATCATATTTTTAATTTTAGTCTTTTTATTACTTATTTTGCTGAATAGAACTGAAGAAATATGAACGAAAACAGTTTGTTAAATGAAAAAAGTCATGGCCTGGAAACCGGACTTGAAATAAGGTGATAAATAATTTATTTAATCATCATATTTATGTATTCATTATAAAATTCCCCAATATTGATTTTTATACAAAATTCAATGTCAATTTGTACTATGGTTTTGCAAAGGAAAGGGCCTGTTATTAAAGTTAAAATTGATTTACGATATTTAATTCTTGGGGAGGAATCCTATCAGTCCGGTTAGTCGTGTGGCGAATCGGCACCATTCGAAATAAGCTCTTTACAATAACTGAAAATACGTTGATTACCCTATCTCGTCGCCAGGAATTACAACATTCGCACATGTTATTTAATCACGTTTATACGTTCTACGGCTATTGTGTCTTCAACATTGGAAGCAGTGCGCCGAACATCCAAATGTACGATCTCATTTAATTACTTGCTGGACTGAATATTAACTCAAAACATTTATACAATTTCTAATGAAAACATCAGTATGACACCATACAGTCGCCAGGTGCATATAGAAAGTCGTATTATATTTGTTGGTATTTAGTATTTGCAGTGTTCGTTTTTTGGCCAACTGTTAATTAAATATACAAGTTTCTATAAATCCAAATAAAAATTATATCGTTATCTTAGTGGAAACTATAGAAAAATGGAGAAATCAATCAATGTCTAAACTCACTACATTGCTAAACTCAAACTAGTCAAATAAGCACGAATTTCCACATTCTGTCATGTTGAGCATGACACATTTTAGAATATTTAGATTATATGTGATTTTATCTGACAAATCAAAATGTACTCAAGTTGTGCTTGTTCACTTGTCCATAATGAATCGAATATTCAAATCAATTTGAACTAAGTGTACTCAATGTTTTAAACTCTCGGCTTTTTGGAATAGTTTGTAATAGTAGAATAGTTCTTGAGTAATTTGAAGTCTTTAGTTAAGTTTTCAGACAAGAAATGGAGAATCAAGTCTATGTATATCTTGGCCATATAAATGAGACCAACATATCTAATTTTAGGGAAAAAGAACATAACAATTCAGCAGTGTCCAGGGAGGATCAAAGCAACAGTCCTACACATGAAGGGTAGGTACCACTCCCTGTTTTCATACTAAATAAAAACATTAACAATTATGTTGAATATCTGTAGAATCACGTTTTTCGCCCAAAATATGATCTTGAACACCCTTGTCCATCTGGACCTCACTTTTCTGGCCATGTGTCTTGTATGAGCTACAGATGCCATAAATGAATCGAATATTAGGATCCATTAGTGATTTTTTTTTTGCTCAGTATTATATATTTTTGATTTTATTGATCATATAGAATATTTTCATTTAAAATTTTGTGTCATTTTAATTAATAGAGTCTCATATTAACGTTCATTCAGTTTTTGTAATCAAAAATAGAGAAACTATAAATTCATTGCCTATCTTTACTACTTCAGGAAGTTCAAACATGTTAAATTTGCAACACAATATACAGATCTAATAAAAATCTATAATTTGGTCGATATAATTGCAAGTCAATGTTTGCATTTTAGGTCTACATCGACAAGGAATGACAGTCCAGAAATTCCTCCAACCGGACAGAACTCCAATCTTTTCTCTAATGGGTAGGTACAGCAAACATATTTACTTTAAACATAATCAAAAATTCTTGACCATAATTGTCTTGACCATAATTGTCTTGCTAAGCATTACCAATAATATTTTTAAAGCCAATACAATACAATACTGGTATCGTACCAGAGAGTTTCATTTACAAAATAGTTTCTAGTGTTACATGTGATGAAACTATATTTAAGAATTTATTTTCAATAGTAAATTATCCGTTGTCTATTCACAAATCTGGGTTCTGATTATGTATGTCACAATATGGCCTCTAACATATCCGATACTTTCTTTCACTTCTAATAGTACTTTTTATATAATACTGAATGTTGTGCATGCTCACAGACTTCAACCCATAAGTGATGTTTCTATCATATCTAATGATCATTTAGCTGGCTTTTAATAATGTAGTCTTTGGACTTAGGCATACACATTTCCATCCACCTATCTAATAATTATTTGATTTAATGTTTATGTTATATTTCTTAGAAATGCCTTATTTGAAAATAGAAAATTGTGGCTCTTCAGCAGAAGTAATCTTTGCATATTGAAGCATATCAAAAACTATACTTGAATTTTAAAATATTTTAAAAGTCATTACACATTGTCATATATTTTTTGGCCCATATAATTGACATTCAATGTATTGCAAAATTTTCAGGCATAGCGCAGCAAAATGCAACGATCCATCAGTTTCTAAAGATGCACAGAGCGTCAGTCATCCACCTGAAGGGTATGTAAAGTTCTATATCTAATAGTTTCTATTGTGTACATAAATAAGTATTATAATGATAATGCAAAACTAAAGAATTATGGTAATACTGTAGCAAAGAAAGACAAAATTCTTTTCCAAGAACAACAATATTCCTCCTTATGTAGGAATTCTTCCCACGTTACGAAACATGGCTCATGTAATTATTCACAATTTTGATATAATGACAAATTCGTTAGATTAATGCTCTCAATGATCAGTTGCTGGAGGTTCACAGAGTCCTCCACCTGAAGGTTAGATTCTATAAATTTGAAACCTTTATTCAACGTGATTTTCCCCTGGTCTTGACAAAAATTATACATGTCAATAGTAGGGTATTTAGTCTTGAATATTTGCAAGAGGGGGGAGAATTATGCGAATGTACACAATTTTAATATTATGTATGATATACTTCATCATTTCATATCAATTTATTCTCTCAAACAAAACAAAAAATAGAATATTATTTGTGTTTATTATTGTTATAGCCACAAACCTTCTTTTGGAGTATAAAGTGAAGTTCATATGTTAGTGCTCAACTTAATCATGTATCTGATTTTTATTTCCTGTAAATCCAAATTTTGTTAAATATATTATAATTTACATTTTCTGGCAATTATTACCCGTAAATATGAATTTTTTTGAAAAGAATGAAGTCTGACATAATGTAATGTTTTTATTTTGGTAAATTTATTTCAGAGACACCGAGGAATATCATGATGCACCAAGCCATTCAAGTAGCAAGTGAGTGAGGCGAATGTTTGATAACAACAAGTAATATGAGAATATCGGTCAGAGACCGAAGACTTATCGATCGAAACTGCGGTTTCGATTCATGACTCTATAGTGACATTGCGTGTCCCATCACTAATTAATTAATTATTAGGTATACGACATAATTCATCCAAAATTAATAGGCTTCTGGTCTCAGATATGATGAATGCACATGCAAAATATGGAAAAGATTCAACCTCGCTTTTGTGAGATATCGCGTGCATCTAACAGACGAACAGTTATAACAAAACCACCGCCAGATTGTAGAATTTTATTATCTTGGGAATTCCGCTGACAGCTGACAGGTTTATGTGAACATATGTTATGTTGATAAGATTAACTGTTAGCGGCCAAGTGTGGGCAAGATTTCAGGATTAAGTGCCAAAAACTTTGCCCACCTAGACTGGCGGGCCATGTAAGTGTGAATTAAAAACATTTACATTTTATGAATAATATTTACAGTGCTACAAATGGAAAACAATAAACCTCCTGCCAAAACTAAATTTAATCACAATCTCAAAATCTTCCTTCGGCTATCTTTTGGCTAAAACATCTAAATTTATTTGGTTGGGTCGTCATCGAGCGGGCTAGATTGAATTATTCAGCGGGTCGTTGTTTGCCCATGTCAGTGTTAGCCTGTTCCTTCGGTTTCATTTCAAATGATCAAGAAATCAAATGATTTCATACTTCAACCATTGTCAAAATAAAAGAGTTGATTCATTTGCTTCAACAAACCTTAAAAAACCTTTATTTCGCAGCGTTGATAATGGTGAGAAAGAAAATGGACAATCAGATGAAAATTTGAATCCAGATGCCGCTGGTGGCACAAGCTTTCAGAAAGGTACCATATGTATTAATACCTAATAGGTAGTAATTACTACCAGCTGATTTGGGCACAGTATGTTTATCAGATTTTCATTTTAGATAGGAAGAGGCTCCAAATTTATGGAGTGTAAAATAGTTTGCTATTGTCAGCGTTCTGGGTACCTGAAGTAGCTTTAATTTTTATTCAAACATATTTATTTTATTTTTTTTTGTATAGTTGAATGCCTAAAATTTAAGAGTTCCAGAATTTGTATTAGGAATTGTGTGAAACTCTAGTGACTAATACGCCAAAGGAACATGATGGTTTAGGCATGGGGGTACAAAATGTTATGTAGTTTTTTTCTTATATTATATTGTTTTTAGAAATCCCATTTTTGCTTTATTTCAACATTTAATCACTCATATTTAGTCACTCATCATCATATTCAAGATTATGAACCATCTCCAAAAATTGTTGAAACTGTTGAGTGTCTCAAGTTCCAATGAAATGAATTCCCAAATGCTACCAAATACATGATTCAGATAATGAAACCATCAATATATAAGCCTATAATGAATACTGTAAAATAATCGCAATATGAACTAAAAAACAATATATATCATATCAAAATATGATAAACAATTATTCTTTCTATACAACCCTTTGATGTGCATGAACAGCACTATATTATTTTACAAAAGCATTGTTTTACATTAGGTCAGTATGTTTTAATTTATGCCAATTTATATATTTATTTATTTGCTATTCATTACACCGTTTTTAAATGCTGAAATTAAGTATAATGAAATATGTATCGTTCAATCAATTTTTCTTCCAGATTATGAACCATCTCTAAAAATTGTTGAAACCGATGACTGTCTCAAGTTCAAGTGGAATGAAGTCCCAGATGCTACCAAATACACGATTGAGATAATGAGACCATCAATGAATGAGCCTATAACAAAAACTGCAGAAAAATCAGAATATGAACTAAAAAACAATATATATAACTTCAAAAGAGGAGAAACAATCATTCTTACTATAAAATTCTTTGATGCATCTGGGCAGGACAGTATTATCGTAAAAAAGTGTCACGTAGTAGGTAGGTAATCTTTTTTTTATTTGCTATTGCACTCTTATTTATATGATGTTAAGATTAAGAATAATAAATTAAGTATAATTTTCTGTATGTAAGTTGAGTAGCATAATAATAAAAATAAATGTTTCATAAATTTATTCCCAATGGTCAGAAATTCATGTCTAGTATGGTATATCCGCTTTGAACTCCATGTAAATTAAGATTCAATATGTAAATGAATGTAATTTATAATGCATAAATAGTATGTACACGAGGCTTGTGTGCAGAAAACTAATTACTTTTGCCTAATTTAGCAGGAGGCGACGATGTTATCAGTGGATTACAAGTGAAACTTAATGAAACGGCTCCTCATTCTGTCATTGATCTGACTTGGACAAAACCTAAGAATGATCCTGAAAAATACAAAATCACATTCATAGAACTAGATGCAAATGAAGACGGAATACCAAGTTATGCTGAAGATATACAGCACACAGCTGTTGATCTTCAACCATCTGCAAAATATAAATTTACAGTGGCGGCAGTGTTTTCAGATGGTCATGAAGGATTACCAGTGTCTTCCGAAATTATAAACACAGATATTCGTAAGTCATATCATTTCTAGTAATGAGGATTTTCATGGTGTCAATTTTTTACTATGATTGTTAATTAAGGGAAACTAGTAGTCTAATGCGACTAGATCCTTATGAATCAGTGATATTTTGGTTTAGTAGATGCTTCGTCGTGATTTGAAACTGTGCACTGACACTCTTGTAAATAAAAATGGTTAACTCTTATTTCAGCACCACCTGAACTCTTCAAAGCTGAAAAGGTTCAAGCAGAGAAAGATCGTGAGAATCCATACAGGCAAATCACAGTGACATGGATGAAACCAAATGTGAAAGTCAAGATTAAACACTATGAGGTATTTTTGAAGTCTGCTGATGGCAAAAAAACAGAACAACAAGTCATCAAACCAGCAGACAAAAAAGCTCATTTCAAAGATTTGAGGTCAAACACTTCTTATCGGGCTTATGTGACAACTGTCGACAAGTTTCTTCACGAAAGCAAAGAAAGTGTCTCAGAGGAAGTCATGACTGATCTAGGTATTATTGTTTCAAAATATTGCTTCAAATTGGTTAGATTAAAACTTCACAAAATAAATCAATAACACCTCTCATATGGTAGCCTATTCTAAATTTTAATATAAATAAAATATTTTTATGAGTGATGCTGGTATTTTTTCATACTGTCATGCATGTTTTTCATAAGATAGGAATACTTATACAATGCTGATGCCAAAATTTGAAATTAACTAATTCCAGTTTAAATTGAATTGGCAATTTATCTATATTTAATAAATTATGTAGTGTAGAGTCACATTAGATGCGGTGATTCAGAACCCTAGATGTTTTGTCCTAATTGGCCCAAGTGGTACAATCACAAGAATATGATAATTTGAAGCATAGATAATTGAAAACCGAGAATATTTAAAAAATACAAAATTAAACACCAATAAATTACACTAGGCTGGCAAAAATATTATTTAAAAAGTAGAGTGATCATCAACAATAAAATTCATTGAATATCTTCGAACAAACCTGATATTGTACGATACGTTTTTTATGAATATATTTTTATAATTTGCAGCTCCACGAATTGAGGGTTTTGATATAAAAGAATCAGGCAAGTTTGATATTGATTAAATAGTCTTACCCTAAATTATTGGGTATATAACTGTTTTTAAGGTTTGCATTAATTTTGTATCTCATTGAGTAAATAGGAAATAAAATATTATTGATACTATTGTTTCAATTGCGTGGGTTTTGCTAAAATGTCAGTTATACCTAATCTGAATTTTGGAAAATGAACAATGATGATTTCCCAATTCAAAACTATTTTTCTATTTTCAGGAAAACCTATTATAGAAAAATGCATCGCTGATGAAAAGCCAAATGGGTTAATGAGCAGATTTGAATGGAAGTTGCCAAATCTTGGAATAGAGAGATATAACTATAAACCTATGGAAATAGTGGCCGTTGCTAAATTGAGGGGAAAAGAGGAAAAAATTTTGCAAGTGGAGAAACGTACCGAAGCAGTGCCTATTCCTTTACAAAGAGGAAAGTTATATGAATTTCATCTTTCGTGTTCATACATTGATTTGGACAATCCTACTGACAAACTACAAGCTGTTAAAAAACAAGATTTGGTTACAGGTAATATTTGAAACTTTCAAATAGTTTTATTTTTACATGAAACAATGGTTACTCACATAGATTAAATATATTAAATTTGTGATTGTGTTGTTTATTTTTAATCTGGTATTCTATGTATATTTGTTGACAGATGTTGGCAAACCATCCATTTTGAATGTGAAATGGGAAAAAAAAGAAAATAAAAGTTAAATGGGAAGGAGGCAAAGGCGCATCAAAACATGCCCTTAAGGTGATGTGTGGAGGCAATATTAGACTGAATGAGGAACTAACTCCTAATAAGAGTCGTGCGACCCATGATTATACTTTTGACATGAATGACTACTATGGAAAAACTCTCCACTTTGTTATTGAAGCAACTGGAGAAGGAAACAATACCCAAAAAAATGAAAAAAATGTTTTAATAGGTTGGTTTTACTATTCTTGTCTGATATCAATTTTTCTTCCCTAGACATACTGTTAGAAAAGTCATTTAATACTATAATAATGAATATTAGCAAGGGTTTCGATATAGGAAATAAGCAAACACAATGCTCTGTAGAATTTTTTTTTTCAAATTCAGTTCAGTAAAAAGGTTTTTTGAATATGCGAAAAAAAAGAGTAGGTTTTCATATTATTAATTTGTCAGAAAATATGTGTACTGTTGGATCTTTGCATTCGGACCAAGTTCACATGGGCAAAGCCATTTTATCACATTTCCTCGTTTATTGTGTTATATGCTATCCAAACAAATGTACAATCTGTTCAGGTGGGGACTATGCCGTGAAGGAGGTTGTTGCAGAGAAAGATATCCAAAATCCAAGAAGAAATATTATTGTTTCATGGCAACCTCCCAATACTCCCCCTAAAAGCTACAAAATTAAAGTGCACAAGGTTCAGCAGAATATACCAGAGAAACCGATATTGGTTAACGAGATATGTGCAATTGAACAAACTCAAACATCCTATACGATTATTGAACTAAAAACAAGTACAGAATATTATTTTGAAGTCGCCCCAATCTATGGCATCGAAACATCAGATGGAAGCGTTTCAAACAAGATTAAAACTGACGAAAGTAAGTGAAAAATTCATGGAAGTTTTTAGTTTTTGAAAACCTTACCACTCGAGCACAAACATATTAGCGTTTTGTGATATTTTTAATATGAAAGTAATTTTTCGCAAATTTAAGACATTGTATGTTCTTTTCCATGCATATCATGCTTGAAAGAAATTATTATTATATGTACTTGTTTTTAGGAATAACATATTCAGTAGAACATTCTTCTGATTTTGGTGAGTTTCTAATAATAGAAAACTTGTAATCATTTCAAACATCTCACATATATTTTTTGAATTTTCTCATTAAAGGTAAACCCGAAAAACTCAGTCATGAGACAATGGATATTTTACATGATAGTCTCTCAGTTGAGTTGTCTTGGAGTCGTGTCGACCTCAGTGAAAACTATAAATTAAAATCATATCATGTAGCGCTTATACAGAAGGGGACTCTACGACGACTCTACTTCGACTCTACTATTTTTACTGGAGATCTGGAATCAAAGCATGCTAAGGTTAAGGTTCCAGGCATAAAGATGGGATATTCTTATGACGTAAAATTTAAAACCTCCTATATTGATCTCGATTCGACAAAAGAATTGTTTGCTGAGAAGGACTATTCATTCAGTACAAGTAAGATAATATATTTACGGTACAACTAAGTATTTATCTGGTTGAAACTATACTAAGGTAAATTATAGAAATGGGTACTAAATGAAAATTCATCTTTCTTCATAAGATTAAATATGTCCGTATGATTACTTGATTGATACATGGTATGATAATTAGAGATTTGTACTCAAATAGATACTCCCGCAGTATGTGAACCACGATGACGTGAAGTGTACCATGTTAGGGTTAGGGCATAATTTCAGATACAAATACTACGGGAGTCAATTGGCTAGTCCCCGAACTCGTAATGGAAGTAAAAAAAGAAAATTGGAATAAAACTATGGCCTAAACCTAACCTGGTACACATACTACATTCTGATGTCCACCATCTTGGTTCACATACTACGGGGGTACCCATTAATATGCTCTAGGCCCGGTTTTCCCAAACTTGAGTCCGTGATGAGTGATGACTGCCCTGCTGTCAGCAACGATACGAAAGGAGTCTGATTATTATTGTTTGATTTCAATCAAAAAGCCATTGCGTTATTTTGATTGAGGGTTGTGGACGGATACCGGTATCTATTGCTGTCAAAAAAGGCGATCAAAATTTAATTGCCTTCAACAATGACATACAAGTGTGACGCAGCATTTTCAACTTTTATCAATATGATGACAAATTACAGGTCGAGATTTGGGGTCCCATCAAAAATAAGATTAAAAGCAGGGGTCCGCGGCCCAAAAAGTTTGAGAAACTCTGCTCTCTGGATACACAGAAACTCATGAATGTACGTGCAATACTCGCTAAATGCATACGGTCGGAATAAAATTTTACATCGACCAGCTAGCTCACTTTAACGAATACTGAGTCCTAAATTATCAATGGCATTTTGAAGTACTCCATAATAACAATAATGAATTTGCATGCCAAGCAATGCTTGGGTATTTTAAAATGACAGTGTTTTAAAACTTTATTGGTGTTCAAGTTTCACATCATAATTTCTTTTATTAAGATCCTTCAAAAACCAAAATTCATGACTGTTGTTGGGACAACGGAGTTGTCAATTTTAGTTGGGAACCTGTCGATGGAGCAAGAAAATATCAGTTGATTATAAAAGATGAATTTTTAATGAGAAATCTTATTAGCGCTAACATCAGCAAGGGTACAGAAGCAGATGATGGATGCCAAGTTGAAGTTCAAATGACAAATGAGCTATGTATTGGCAGAGTGTGCATGACAAAAGTAATTACTTACACTGACAGCAATTTAACATCAGAAACCGACTGGAAAGCTCATTTGATCGGTATGACTACTTTTGTAGCCTTAGTAAATCCTTTTCAGAATAAAAAGTTAGAAAATATAATCAGTTCAAAAATTGTCCCTGTTCAATATTTGTAGCTTTGAATTGCATTCTGTTCTTGTTTGTAGTCCGTGTTTTTTTGAAGGAGTTCTTGACTTAAATACAAGAAAAGTTACTGTTTATACCCACTTTGCTTGTTACTGCTTGTCAACAAAACAAAATTTCTAAGCATTTTATGGGTCTACAGATCTCTCTATCACTAATTTGAGAAAACACTGAAATATATATTGTATACTTAATAAGATTCAATGACTAATACTAATTTAGGCATATTTAGCAATTATTTAAAATCCTCTTTTTCATTTGTTGGTCTTCAGGTGGAGATCTTGTACCCAGGAATGTAAAAGCAGTGACCAATACTGAGAATCCAGAACGTTACATAAATATCACATTTGACGCACCTCATGAAGGCCAGGCAGATCAATATATTATAGAAGCAAAACCACAGAAAGGGAAAATCAAAAAGATGAGCTCTAAATCTAACTCAGTAACTTTCGAATATCTTAGAAAAGGAGTGGAGTACATATTTCATGTGTCTGCGATGCACAATAAAAAAATGAGTGCCGAAAGTCCCTCTAATGCAATCAAAACTGAAGGAGGTATAGGTATTTTTTACATATTCTGAAATAAATCGATTTATATTATTTGCTATGTTGATTTTAGAAATTATATAAACAATAAACACAAGCTGTCATTTCCAACTGTTAAAGTATAAGACTGGGCTATCGTACTTCTAGTTGTGAAAAGTAGATAAAACAATGAAACTCAATATTCAGACAGCTCAGATGCAATGGTGAATTTTGAGGGTGCTCAAGGAAAGTACGACTTGACAAATGCAACAATTTCTGGTTGCAAAACATATCTGAATGTTATCATGGGAGATGATTTCGGTAAGTCCTTTCAACTCTTTAAAGTTTTTGTTTTTTTCAATAGAACAGAACATATGATTGCTAGATGAACCTGCCATTTAACTAATGCTAATATTCATAAAAATACACTTTCTTTAGGCAAAGTAAGAGATTTAGAAGAAAAGATTACACCTAACCAGCTCAATGACAGTCTGATATTAACTTGGAAAATCCCATCATTTGACAATAAATCAAATGATTACAAAGTAGAGCACTATACTGTTAAAATACGAAAACAAAATAATAACGAGGAAAAAGAATTCGATGTACCATTTATCAAAGGACAGCATGAGTACTCTACAGAGCCTCATGATTTAGAACTTGGTCACATCTATGACATATCAGTGGCAACCCTCTATGATGATATTGACAAGGATTACACTTTTATATCCAGTGCTGTGAAAAAACTGATTCATGCTAGTAAGCTACAATGCAGCCTTGTGGCTCACTTTCAATTTCCGTTTGTACAAGGTTGATTATTTATTTGGTTTTGAAGCATTTAATTTATGCTTTAACATACATAAGTGGTACAATAACACAACGTACAATAACCCTCTACATTTTGATAGTACATCTTTTATCGCTATTGCTTAATACAGATTAATTGTATATGGAATTTGCTTGTTTATTCTTTCTATGAATAGTGGATGTTGTACCAACATTCAAGGTATATTTTTCAGGGCCTTGTAAACCAAAAATATTTTCCAACATTGACGATGAAAATAATGAACTGAGGTTGGAATGGAATGATGTTCAAGGTGCATTACATTACGAAGTTGATATATATACAGACAACTCAGAAAGTCCGCTTTTCCATAATAACATTGGAAAAAACATCACTTGGAGACGAGATTTTGATGAAAGATTTGGATATGGAACTTCCTATAAAGCTGTAATAATGGCTGTTGGAGTTGAAAATAAAACAAATTCATCAGAAACATCCACAAAAACTATCGGTAAGCAAATATATGTCTCAAGCATTTGGTTTGGTTGGTTGTAATTTAAACAGTAACTCCAGGGGCCAATAGTGACTCTTATAAAAATTTTGCATTTATTTACTCAGGAGGAGAACTAGTGCCACGAAACGTGAAAGCAACAATAAACGAAGAAAAAGTTACAGATCCAAACACACAAGTATTTTTAACATGGGAGCAACCGACGCAATCACCACACTCATACAAAGTTTTATTAGATGACAAAGAAATTAATAAACGAAATACCAAATTTTATGGCTTATCTTGCTTGGTATCTGGCTTAAAATCCGGCACAGATTACCTATTTAAAGTTGTTGGAGTTCATTTGTTAAACAATATAGAAGTTCGCAGTGGAGGATGTTCATCGAACAAAATACAAACAAATCCAAGTGAGTCTGTATTACTTTGCATATACTGTCTTCATATTACTTTGCTATTGTTAACTGTGGCTACAATTTGTACTGATATCCAGTAATAACAGCTACGTTTTACTGAACCAAGACCTTTTATTAAATAACGGAATGGTGGCCAAATGGAATGGGGACCTCCTTGAGGCAAGTCGTGAAAGACAGTACTTTCAAAATAAATAACTGGATCCACTGATATATTGTTATTATTTATTTTGTCTTAAAAAATTAATTTGAAAAACGAAAAAGTGTGTCTACTATTTTGGAAAATTTTTCTTCTTATCAGTTTTTCATATCTTATCTAAACTGGTATTTGCTACCAGAGTGATTATATCTTACTGGTACCTATAAATTTTGGTATCACTTCCTCATAGTCATTCTCATTTCTTATTATTTAATCCAAAGCGTTTAAAACATTTCTAAACTCTTTGTTACTCACTACATTTCAGCTCCCACGCAAGTGAAAAACTTGTTTGGCACGCTTGGAGAGAACCCAAGTACAATGATTCACATCAAATGGGATAAAGTTGATGCAGAAAGACCAAATGAGTCAACAAAGTACCGGGTTTGTGTTACTACAGAAGATAGAAAAGACGAAAAGAACTACAGAGGAGTATATGTCACTACCGAGGAAGTGATTCTTACTGGACTGGAACCTGCAACTACTTATTCTTGCATAGTCGCAGGTGGTAACTCACTTGGATATGGAAGAAATTCAGAACCATATGAAATAAGTACAAGTAAGGAATTATCATTGTCTTTCCATATTGATTCGTGCTGATTTACTGATTCAAGCATTTTTTTTAGAATTTGGGACTCCAAAGCGTGTTCAACTTTCAGTAAAAGATAACTCAACTTCAAATTCACTGATATTGAGCTTTCTACATGCTGAGGGAAATGCAAAACAATACATTGCTGTGATGTACAAACACCAGGATACTGTAAAATATCAGGTCATTGGACCCGTTTCCGTTGAATCTGGATATATTTTTGAAGGTTTATATTCAAATTCAACCTATTCAGTAAAAGTGCATGGCGTGTTTGCAACTGGAGAAGGCGATGCAATCTGGTCCAATAACTATACAACAGGTAGGTAGGTATATTATACATGGTTTGAAAAATCAAATAAAAGTAATTATACTTCATGGATTTCTTTTACAAATTCAGACAAGAGTTAATTTGATCTTTTTTTTTGTTTACAAGCCCCTGCAAGAACAGAAATCACGGAAGCTGTTTGCACGGTTGATAACGAAGGAAATTCGAGTTCAAGAGAAATCAATATAAAATGGAAACCTGATTCTGAATGCAATGAACATGAAGTCCGTATCAAACGTGGTCATTATAGTGTAATAGAAAGTCGGCTTATAGTGCAAAATACAAATGAGTTGGTTTACCCATGCTTACATGAAGCAACACAATACGTGGTTGAAGTGAGATCAAAAAATAAGCAATGCTATGGGGAATGGTCTAAACAAGCAATAGTCGAATTAGGTGAGAATACTTAAATAAGTTGACTATGAGCAGGAATTTTTAATACCAACTACCCAATAGAAAATATAAAAAAATGCTTCCCAAAACAATAGATATATGGCTGTATATTTTTTGCACACGGTGAGCTGCTCAATACCCATCGTTGGTTTATCGCGTCTTTTTTTACACTGAAATGCATTTTTTTATCTTTAATAATTATGTTTGTCCAATATGTACTTTCGGTTTGTTATGATATAAACTACTGACTGACTACTGGCAAATTCCAATAACATTCATATTATAATCCAAAATCTTGAACAAATGTCACGTTTCTAATGACATAATACCTATCTATTGCAGCACCAACTAAACTAGAGAATGTCACTGCAAGTTTGGAAGAAGAAGGAAATCGCATTGTGGTGCAATGTAGTGTTGCTGAGAAGGATTGCCCTTTCTATTTTGTACAGGCATATTGCAATGGAGTATTGGAGGGAAGCCCATTCGAAGCTTATGGCAATGCGGATAAAAAAGTGGCTGAGGTTAATTTCAATCCGAAAGTACCAGCAGAAAAATATCACTTTATAATGTGGGGTGAAAATTCGAGAAAAGTCAGAGGGAAAGCTTCTCGTTCCGAAACTGTATTATCAAGTGAGTGACTTAACCATTAACATTTTCATGAAAAGATTCTACTGACTTCATAACGAATTATTTTAATTACCAATATAGATAATAAAATTGCTTTGCACTTATTTTGCTGGTACGAAAACGAATAATAGATTGTATACATATGTGAAGATATCATGGATTTTTGCAATTGCCTGTGATTATGCTAATCTGAAGATTATTTGAATAGCAATGCATAATACATCTGACATATTATTTTTTATAGGGCCAGAGAAAGGCAAAGTTCCTGTTGTAAATTTGAATGATGAGAATCCGAGCACAGAAATTCAAATAGAAAGGCGAGCTCAAGAAAGATGTGAAAAATATGAACTTAGGATCTGCTGTGCTGATGAAAATAAACTAGAAAACATATTGATATTCGATACAACTTTATGCCAGTATATATGTCAATGCCCCGGAAGCAAATACAAAGTGGCAGTCAGGAGTATTTGTGGAACAGTGAAAGGGGACTGGTCGAATGAATGTGAAATTAATTTGGGTATGTTGTCTAGAACTAATCTAATATAGAATACAGTTTAATTATTTTAAGAAGGTACATTTATTTTAACTTTTAGCACCGAGTGACGTGAAATTGCTTGAAGACGATTGTCAAGATCCTGTGAGATTTGTTGAGATCAAGTGGGAACCACTGAAACACAAACCAGAAAAATATGTTGTTAAATTGTTTGGAGGGCAGGAAAAACTTGCTACAGAGGAAACAGACAAAACTGAATTTAGGTTTGAAGGAATAGCCAAACCAGGGTCACTATGCTACTGTACCGTGACAGCAATTAGAGAAAAAGCAATTGGCAAAACTTCAAAATCGAAGAACTATCGAATAAGTAAGCTCTTTTATTTCTATTTTTTAGAAACTTTCCTGAGAATTAATGCAAAGGTATCATCATTATTTTACAGTGTGGTCAAAGCCAAGCTACTTCACAATTATGCCAGATGAAAATAATCCTTCTCAATGTGCTAATATGAAATGGGAAAAACCATATGGGGCGAACTGCTTCAAGCTTCAAATTGAAAACAACCTAACTGGTGTTTCTTCTGAGATATTACTTAAAAATGACAACTATGCCTACCGAAGTGGCATACCTGGAAACAGATACACAGTCAGATTGTACTGTGGCTGTGACTCACATTATGACTTGAACTTCAGTCTAGAGACAATGATTATGAGTATGATTTATTTTATTTTTACAAACATTTAGTTTATTTAAGTTGATTGAGTGTGGCATATATACAACACTATAAAATTTGTTGCCTATGCCTGCTGGTCTGCCTATATGGGCTTGAGATACTATCTGTTCAAATCTTGTACTAAACGAGTTAATATCGGTCTTATCTATTATTTCCGTGTTCGTCCGATATGAGAGAAGTAACAAAACCATCCAGCTGTGACGCACAGTGCAAATCGTATAAAAAGCGTGGATTTCAAAATCACCACTCAGATATGTAATATTGCTGACGCGAATCAGACAGGAAATCAGTAACCTTAACTCCTTTATAATGACTTATTACTTATCGATCTTAAGATCAGTAAGTATGTTGATAGGTATTTGTCTGTTTGATACACGATTTTGTTTCGATATCTCACGAAAGCGGGGTTGAATCTGCTTCAAATTTTGCATGTGCATTCATCATATCTCGGATCAGAAGCCTATTGATTTTGGATGAATTATGTCGTATAATTAGTGAGTTATTAATTAATTAGTGATGAAGAGATCTGGATTTTTACAAAGCGAGAGATTTTCGAGACGCGCTGAATGTGTGTGTGCGTGTCCTATTCCCAAGTTTTCATGCTAGTGAGTCAGAGCGAAGGATACACACCGCTAGATCGTATCTCGTGATTAATCTTTAAGCATTGTCCATATCTCTCTTGTAACTTTGACGTCGTCGCGATGCGCAAGTTTCCCTCGGGAAATTTTCCGCGCTATTGAGTCAGAGCGAAGGATACAAGCCGTGAGATCGTACCTCGTTATTTATAATTACTCTTTAAAGTTTAAGCAATTTCCATATCCCTCTATCAGGTTCGGGGTTGCAGAATTCCTCACCAAAATATCGCTAGGCTGTGTTTGAATAACCGTCGCAACCCGGGTTAGCGCCGTTGGATTTGACACAAAATTTAGGATTGGTAAATAGGTTATTGGCTGGAAACTAATCAAACAATCCAGTTCGGATTTGCAGAATTCTTCATAAAAGTATTTCTTCGAGTAGTATTTTGACGACGACATGGGGAGTTGGCTATTGTTTCCTACATTTTTGATATTGGCTGAAAACTATTCAAAACAATCCAGTTCGGGTTTGCAGAATTTTTCGAATCGAAACCGCAGTTTCTGTTTTGGGGATCCCCTTATTTTCGATCGATAAGTCTTCGGTCTCTGACCGATATTCTCGTTATTGGTTTAGCATGTATTCTCAGTCATACATATCATGATGTGATGTGATGTTTTGCTAAATATGATTTTGACTGCACCATACTTGGAATAGGTATCGAGGTTTTTTAAACGTGAAAAAAACGTAAAAGTAATGGTAATTTTCACGCGTAACGGCGCTCATTGGATTGTTCACGTCTTTCTACGCGCTGTGACGTCATCATAATTGCCAAGTGAAGCATTGAACTTGAAAATTCTGTAAATACAAATGCGTAACCATTTTCAACCACTTATGTTATAATAGTCGTTTTGGTATTGTTCTGTTGGTAAAAACTTCAAGAAAACGGCGAAATAAAAATTATTTAATTAGGAATAAATATTAACCCTTTACTGGACACTCAAGACCAAGACCAAGGTTTTTTATTAGAAATTTTTGAAACTTTATCGCATAAAAAAAATATTATTAGAGCTGTGTGTGATATATCGCCGAATAGAACTATAGCACACGCTTATAAAAAGCCATAAGAGAAGCTTTAGGGCTTAATGGTTGACGAAAGAAATTATTTTAAAAATACCCATGCAAAATGGCTTTAGAGAAGCGGCCTAAAAAAGGTTCAGATTTAGATTTGCTATCTATCTGCTGAAAATCTTTCGCGAAATGACTGACAAATCCCCTAGCAATTGTCAGATTTGGAATCCCACCTTTAATAAGCGCTATCATATTGCATTACCAAGCAAATATGGTTGAAGCTTCCCTATCGACCAAAATGAGCAATGAAACAGAAATAAACCTAATGCCCATTCTTTTATGTTTACTCAGAACCAGAAGCGCCCACTAATATTGTGGTTACTCCAAATGGTGATATCCATGGCTTCATAGTAGAATTCAAAGACAACTCTATATTTCAAAAAAAATATGAGGTTACAGCAGAACCACTACAAAAAGCATTGGAAAAGAAAAGCATTGACACAAATCAACACAAGGTAGCGTTAAAAGATTTGGTTGCTGGAGAATCCTATTCTATAAATGTCACGGCTATAGTGGAAGATACAAAGAGTGAGGCAGCAGTGAACGACGGATATGTGAAAACCTGTAAGTTCATTTTCTATATATCATTGCTCATTGTTTATTTTTATGTGAAATTGCTCAGAACCCGATAAGTATTATTCTAAATGTTAAAGAATCACTATTGAAAAATAGCAGGTAACTATTGAGATGTAAACAATATAATATTGTGTCAGAGTAACTGATAATACGGACAGTATTGAGTATTAGCAAATAGTCAATAAAAAATTTCTTCATTTGATTACTATGACATTTGCAAATTGATTTAAATCATTTAACGATCTTCATTTTAAATAATAGATTTTTTTTAATTTTTCGAGTGGAAAATGTAGTTGGCCTCATTAATTTACTTAAAAAATTTACTCCTAAAACTGATTAACATTGTTAATTTTGTATTTATTCTAGTAATTTGATTATTGTTCACCCATTTTAAAAATTGATGTTTAGTGCCAGAAAAAATCCAAAACTTAGAATCAGATTTTGATGAAACAATTGGAGCTGTTATTTTCAAGTGGGCTGCTCTCAAAATTGAGCCAGACGAATACAAAGTGCAGTGGAGAGTGGGAAATGATACAATAACAGAGGATTTTACGCATGAGCCAATATTTAAAATTCGGTTTGTGAAACCTGCTCATTGTTACAGTATCCGAGTTGCTGCTACAAATGAGTCTGGTTGTGGGAAGTTTAGCCAGTGGAAAACATTCATAACAGGTATTGTTAATTCTTGGCATTGTGTACAATTTCACTTATTTGGCGAAATAAGGTGTAGAACTAATTTTAAAAATGACTTGTATATATAATTTCATTTCCACTATTTTATATGAGTTAAAATATAACCTATTTTCATTCTGTAAAATATATCTTAGTACACATCCTTGAACCTGTTTTCCATTTATATATATGGCAACAGCTGAAATACAATTATCTACAATATTATCCCATTTCAGATCCACTTCCACCCCGTAATATTCAAGTAAAGCCTAATGAAAAGAATCCAACAACAAGCATGATTGCAAAATTTGACGACGATTTTGATATTTTGAAATCATACAAGGTAGTAGCAAGCTGTACCTCTCCCATGGTCAAGGACGTTAGATCTGCAATAACTAAAGAATATTCATATATATTCAATGATCTAAAAGCTGGTCAAACTTATAAAATTAATGTCCAAACTCTGTTTTGTGGCAAAGAAAGTAAATTTGCTTTCCAATAAAAAGATCTACATTTAGTATTATTTTCAATTGCTTAAAATGAGCATGATTGGATTTTATATACCGTAAATTCACTTTGAAATTACAATACTTTTATCTGCTTATGTTGATACAAGTAAGATTTATTTTGATGAAAATTTGATTGATTTACATGTTTATGTGTATGTTACAAAGTTATAATTAAACCCTGATGACTTTTCTAATGCACCACCTGGTGAACCATCTATTAATTTCTGTATAAGGACATTCTATTAAAATCCTACTGAACAATATTTGAAGTTAACGCTATGTAGCCTAATATGTATAACATATATTCATGTATATGTATATTTTCATTCTAGTTTTATAATATGTGCAGGGTATGCATTATGTTTCATAATATCACCCCATAAATCATGCACTGGAACATCATATTGCATTCAACATGTACTGGCAACAGTACAGAGATGTATCTTATGTATTTTACCACAGTATCACAGTTTAATATTGCTTAATATAAGTTTTTTTTATTTATATCTGTACTATGTTAATTTTCATTGCTCAAATAATGCCTATGCTTTTTTTTTCTAAATATTCAATTGTAATCATTGAATACTTGTACCGGTATGTAAATATTGCAGAATTACATATAATACTGTAGAATTAACTGCAAACATGAATGAAAGTGCTGTGGAAACAACTGAAGCAAAACGCTTCAATTGCAGTCCAGCGGATATATTGTATATCACAACAAAAACTATGTAGCTTTATATACTACTTTATATATGATATGTTCCTTGTGAGCTCTAAATAAAACCACTATTCCAGAAGACCATTTACAGCTATTCCTATATAAAAATACGCCAATTCAAAAATCAGCCTTATAATCGGGAATATATGTCCAAAATATAAAAAATGAATGGAAATTATTGATTTATGCATTGTGATAATAGTTTGTGTAAAATTGTGATCACCAACTCCTGTTAGTACAATGAATTGGATTATTTAGCTAAAAATTTTGTGACCGTTTCAAATAAATTTGCGAAGAGGCTGATTAAAAAATCAAAAATGCAATTTTGACAAGACTGACTTTTAAGACTTTGTACTTGTTTCTTGTGGGTTCTAATAAAACCAACATTTAATAAAAAAGCCAATTTAAAATTCAACCAAAATTGTTGTAGAAAACATTACTTGTGGATGTTTGTACAGTTTCCAATTTGAGTGAATCTGCAATTTTTATTAAGATTCAACTGTGCATTTGCTCAGCCACAGCACTGTAGATTACAAATAGGATAGGATAAAATTTACATATTTATCCTGGGAGAGAGGAAAGCTGATAAGGCCGCTTGTTCATATGGTGTATTCATTTAATAGAATAATTACATTCATGTAGTTCTTTCAACTTTTGGTATATATCTTGCTGTTGTCAGGTGAATTGTTATTAAAAAGTGCTTATGTTAGGTTACCTTTTTTCATTATTTAATTTTGAAAATGATATTATTTGTTGATTGCATTGTTACTGTATGTTTTATCATTTTCAGATCATCATTTCACTGCTTTTTCTAAAGATTTCTGTAAACTATGTTTATGCCTGACACATAATTAGGATAAGATACCTATAATTTCAAATATAAATTGTTTTGTAAAGTAATTTTTTGGCACAATGGACTTAAATATTTATTTTGTCAACACTGGGTTGGTATATACTGAAGCTGTGCCAAGCTGATATATATTCTGTAATTCCCTCTGGTCTCATATTTAACTTGGGTTGATGAAAAATGCAAAGAATACCTAAATTTTACTACTTATCCATACAATGTTTTCTGAAGAAATGAACGCTCTATGATGAGTACCTTAAAAGCAAATCAAAATTAAAAGTGTATACTTACTTTTGAGACACCCTGTATATTCCGTCATTCCATTTGTTAACTGATTCTATCGTAAACCTGGTCAATGTTCATTGTTTGCTAAATTCATATTCTGTTTCACACATTTGTAGATTGTGTTATTCAGCTTGCTCACTATGATAATCTGAAAGTAAAATTAGTGTTTCATTTTTGATTAAAATTTCAGATTAATATATTTAATTATTTAGTTTTATAGTAATAAAACCAAGCATGGACGAGCAGGATGAAGCATGTGTAAAACAACCAATGACAGATGGAGGAATGTGTGTGCTTCGTAAGTAAAATAAGATTCACAAATCTTTTAATGAAAGGTAAAATCTAATTACCGGTAGCTTATGTAACATTTTAAGCAATTGAGATCGCAATTTTGTAGTAGTTTGGTTTTGACAGCAAAAACTAAACACAGACACATGGCAATACCTAAAATCAAAATTAAAACAGGTACAGTTTTGAAGATGGCCCCCGGTTCATAACAACAGATCGAAAAACTCCATTTCTAAAAAATGTGATTAAGCTACTTTGGCTTTACCGGGTGATGTATACTTTTTAATGCCCAGTGGTTTTATATTTTAGATCCTTCTGCTCCGAAGCTGGCAGAAAATGTAGAATGGGATAAAGATGATCCATTTTGTGCCTGGGTGACATGGGAAGAAACTCCATCTCAAGAGTAAGATGAATGATTACATTTTGTTATGTTTTCTAGAAATAACAAAATGAACGAGAACCTCGTATAACTTGTCATAAGACTGCTTTCCGATAAATGTAATATTGAGATTATAATTTTTTTAAATTTTGGTTACAAATTTGGAATCGAACAGTAAAATGCAGTGTTAATGTTTAGGAATTTTGCAAAAATTTTATGTACTTTAATTTGATTTAATATCGTTTATGTACAAAGTCTGCTAAATTTTCCAGACATGTAAATAAAGAAATTGCTTTCATTTTTTACAGCGAAGAAATGTATAAATTATATTGCTGGACAGATGAAACCGATAAGCGCGAATTTGAAGCACACGGAAGACAATATCCTCTGACAAAATTGAAGAAAGGTTCCACGTATTTTGTCAATGCAATTCTAATTAATAAAGCAGGCTGCTCGATTCCTTCCAATATCATCAAATTCGAAACTGGTTGGTAAATAATTTTCAGTAAATTTTAATTTGTGATCAGTAGAGAAAAATATTAATATTGTGTTTAACTGATACCTAAATAAAAATTTATTATTAAGACACTGATGCTAATAAATATAAATTACCAATTACTTTGTTAGAACTTGTCAACAATATTATCATTGGAAAAAACAACGGTTTTCAAAGGGGGCACTAGTATGTCGTGGCGATTTGCTAAGTGCGGCCCAAAAATTAACAGAATTGTGTTAAACATATCTAATATATGGTGTAAATATTTAACATATTGCTGTATATATGAATCAATAAATCCATTTCACATTTTTATGTTGTTTACTTTATATAATCCTAACAGTATAAGTAGCCATACTACTAATTTTGTGAGCTGCAGCCCTACATGTTTAAAAACTTCAAAAGCCATTAAACACATATTAACGATCACAAAATTGAATTTTATTTAAAGGCAGTAATTTTTTTTGCCAGTTATTTCCCCCGATAATTTGGCATCGCATGAAAAAGTTTGTGAGTTGAAAAAGTTTGAGAGTTGCTGACTTAAACCATATATTATGTAATACACCTCGCTCAGTTTATCTTTAAACTGGTCATCTAACATTGCTAACAACGTGAAGTACATTATAATTTTCTAAATGAAAATAAATTTTTAACATTTTCAGGACCAGAGTGCCCTGTTAATATTCAGGTCATGAATTATGAACCATCACCTCATGACCATCTTATGGTTCAGTTCGATAATGCAAATACAAGACAAGTAGACCATCTGGTATCGGTTCAGCCCATCAGTGGTAGTGAGATAGCACTCATCGAAACAAAAAAAGGGCAAAATTTTGCATTGATAGAAGGACTTACACCTGGACAATTTTATAACATTCAAGTGGCAGCAGTAGTTGGTGATCTCAAGAGCGATTTTGCAAATTTCCCCAGAATGATTCAGACATGTAAGTTGTATAACATAAAAAACAAAAGACAATTAGTTTTGTGGCTATAGATCTAAATGGGTTGTTTCTTTTAATCTCACTTGAAAGAAAAGTCATTAAGCTCGCTTGGACCATTATTTAATGATGAAAACTTCTGCAATTATCACATTTAATATTTTTTTGTAATTCGTTTCCGTCCTTTTGGCAATGTGATACCATGCATGTTCAAGATGCTCAATAGAACCGCATCGCTATAATAAAAAACAGCAAGAATTATAACACTACCTTTCATTTATTCGAAATAGATCCTGAAATTCCGGTAGATGTAAAAACAGAAGAATTTTATGATGGGCTGAAACTTTCATGGAAGCACAACGAAATCAGACCAAAGAATTACAGAATATTTTGGGCAGCAAACTGGGACATGCAGGAAGTGATTGAAACTAAAGAGGACTATTTCTATTTCAACAAATTGAAAAGATCTACGATTTACAAGTTCAGAGTGGCAGCTTTAAACGCTGCAGGGGAAAGTGAGAAAAGTGCAGAAATTGAATATGTTACAGGTAATTTGATACAAATTGTAGCGCTCCGGAAATATGTGCACCAAGATGGCGCACATACTTCGGGAGCACCCAAATTTTATTAAAAAAAAACTTGGAATCAGGATTATCACAGATAATATAATTTACTAATTGCCCTTACTGCACAGTCTCGTGTTCCGTGTCATCAACTATAACAGACAATTAGATGAAGATGAAAGGAAATGATATTTATCTTATGATTCTTACGACCCTAACCCAAGTTTAATATATATGCAGTCATATAAAGATTAATAGATTTCAAAATATTGTTTGAATAATGAAATGAAAGAATCAAGCGAAATACAGACATAAAAAAATTATTTTGAAATATGCTTAGGTTTAGTTATCTCCAACAGCCTACTTGGCGTTTACTTTAAAAGAGGATACTTTGTTACCTCAATATCTGGAATAGCTATATGCAGTTTAGGTGAGCCATGGTAATATTCAGAATATTTTATTTCAGTTCCCTCTGCTCCTATCAACATCAAGGTCACACCAAACCCTCAATCTAAAGCAAGGAGTTTTATCGTGAAGTATGATGATCCTGACACGGTGCTTAAAAAGACATATCGGATTGTGGCAAATGATATAAAAGGGAAAGAAGCAGCGACAATAGAGACCGAAACTCACACTGCAGTGCTGAGTGAGCTTCAACCAGGCCAATCTTACTACATTTATGTAGTTGCTATTTATGGAACTCTAGAAAGTCAAAAAGCTCACTTTGTCAAAAACTAAAAATGAATTGATAACCTACCTTCACATAAACAGTTTTATTATGATGCATGTATCCGCCACCATTGTGATATCAGTAACCCCTCTATAAACTTCCCTATTTATTGTATTTAAAAATTACTTGATCCAACCATTATGCGAAACTGGAATAACCATGTCCGGGAGGATAAATTTAATGGGTCACATGTTTGAAAAGCTGTTGCCAAATATTAGATGATGACCCCTGGTCCCACCTATTCAATAATACAATAAATTGGATTATCTATGCCTCACTAAGAACTTTATAAACCATTTCAAAACTATACCACTTATTATAGTCATAACTAGGTCAATATGCAAGAATGCTAAAAAATGAAAAATAGGACTGAAATAATGATAAATAAAAACAGCTTCTTATAAAAGAAAATGACTTGTTAAAATTGTGGATTTGTGTAATACATAAATAAATATGTGATCGTTTGTGAATTATTCTTTCTTGTTACACTCCTGGGAATTCATATATCACAGTAAAAACCACATACTGGTAGCTTCATGTATTTTTTCATCATACTTTTTCCAATAATGTTCCTTGTGAGTTTTAAATAAAACTACTATTTTAGAGGGCCATTTTACAGCTATTCTTGCACCTTATTGTTACAATGAAAATATGCCAATTCAAAAATTAACCTTTGACAATTATCTTATTCAAATTGTCTACAATAATAATTTGCCAAAACAATATGGCCAAAGATAAGTGATACATTAAATGGAAATTACTGATTTTTAAATGCACTTTTTTGCTCAAATACTCTATATAATCTAGCAAGATATATTAATATGAGTAATATTAGCATACATTTGAGGAATTTTATTCACTTATTTCTAGTTCTTGTATAAAAAACTCTTATATTTAGATTTATACATTGCGATAGTAGTTTGAGGGGGTTTGAGGTGCAATGTAAATACCTAATATTTTTTTTTTCATTTTTTTTACCACTAAATTCTCTGTGAAAATGATCTTATAGTTACAATGAAACTATGCCAATTCAAAAATCAACCTTTAACATTTGTCGTATTCAAATTTGTACAATTATAATTTTCCAAAACAATATGGCCAAATATAAGTGATACTTTAAATGGAAATTACTGATTTTTAATTGCACTTATTTGTTCAAATAGTTTATTTTTGAATCTAGGAAGATATTTTGATATGAGTAATATTAGCATATATTTGAAGAAATTTATTCACTTATTTCTAATTCTTGTATAAGAAGCTATTATATTTATATTTATACATTGCGATAATAGTTTGGGGGGTTTGAGGTGCAATGTAAATAGCTAATATTTTTTTCATTCTATACCTCTCAATTATCTGTGAAAATGAATTAAAAGAAATTATAAGCAATACTAAAAGTTCAAATGTTTACAAAACATAAATATAAAAAGTTGTCAAATGGTCCGATTTGCAAAAATAATTTGTGACAATTGATTATATCAGTATGTGTTTTTGTTTAATTTTTATGCAAGTTTTTAGGTAATGTATAGAATTAATTTGTTTGTCATGCTAATTTGTGTTTTTTCTGCTTTCAGATGTCTAATCTTAAAGTATTCAATACTGGGCTATTTTTACTTACTAAATAATACTGACAAGTAAACAACGGTGGCAACATATTCTGAATTGCAAGCATTTGTATGTATTTCAAAAGACAAGGGTTTTGTTAGAAAAGGTACAGTTTTTTATTTTGATAATTTTTTTTATAAATATTGATTAATTGCTTGACATCGAATTAAAAGGATAATCAGATAATGGTGAATCCAATAAGATAAGTAAGATGTACCTACCGCCGCCCCATCCTAAATCAGCCCTCTCCAATCTTGTATTTATTCCATCATTGCCTCCACGCTGATTATTTGCCATTGTTGCTAAAATTAGCATAAAAACTGAATGCTGGGTGAAAAGACCTTATTTTTGAATTTTTTTTAATGATGTACATCAGGGGTATGCAACCTTTAATACAGGTGCAAATAACAGAATAAAACCGCCGACTGCACGTTAATTTAACAGGCTTTCTAGTAGTTACAGGCACAAAATATTTGGTTATTGATCTTATGAAATGCATTGTAAGCTTCGCGAGTTTCGCGAGCCACACATTATTCCAAATTGACAATCGTCCGCGGGTCCCATAATTTTTCCTTGTGGGCATTCGGACCATTGCCACAGGTTGCACACCTCTGATGTACATATCTTCTTCGCCCCAATATCATCTCAAACATAAATGTGTACAATCCTTTGCAAAACGGTGAAATAAATTTGACTCTATTCTGTTACCGAATTTTAGAACCTATAATATATATTTTAAATATATAATTTGTCAAATTAAAGATTCCATGGATTGGTAACAAGCAATTTTGACATTCTTGAACTTTAAGCTATGCAAAAACTTGTATTTACATGGCTGATCCAAACCGGTTTTAAATTGAAAACAGATAAGATGAACTACCAGCTTGAGATTACAACATTAAAAATTCTTGTGCCAGTATGGCTGGTATGACAGACATCAAGGTTCGATTGCATATAACTTTTGTGTTGCTCGAAATGACAATGTGTCTTTGTTACAGTTTTGGGAATTTGTAGAAGCGGAATCGCTTGAAAAATGGACAAACAAACACCCATTGCTACGTGTGAGTAAAAGTGATAATATTTTGATTTTTCATTGCTGAACAAAATTGCACGAATGTCTACTGTTTAATCGCTATACTATTCTAATTACAGATATTGATGCAATATTAATGCTTAAGCCTCAACCAACCTACCAAAACAGAGACTATAATGTCATATTCAGAAATTAAATGAAAATATATAAAATTCTGAATCCCTCATTTGACGATGAATCGCAAAATCGATTGATTGTTATGCTGTATGTCTAAATGTAATTACCCCCCCCCCACCAATAACTTTTATGGTACTCCTGTAGTACCGTGTAGTACCGTGTACCATGTCAGGGTTACCGGTAGGTTTATTCCGATTTTTCACATTTCAGTTCCATTACGAGTTCAGGGACTGTCTGTGTGAGCCAAGTAGTGAATATCCCCTCTGCTCAGAGTTTTTAGTCCTATTACACAAGTTGATGTAAAGTAGGCGAAAAATATTAGTTATGGTACCACCATATTGGTACACACATTCTGAAACGCCAATTTTATAACCTATAGCACCACATGTACTTGGAAAACTAGCATTTTTTCCTAATTTTGTACATTATTTGACCAAATCTGGTACATTATTTGCCCAAATTTGGATTCCAGTTTATTTATTTTAAAGAGCATATATTAGGTTTTGACACCACATTTGCACACAGACATTTGTATACAAAAAGAAAAATAAATCTCATTCAGTTAGTTATGAAAAGCATTGCATCCTTATTCCCAATAAAAGTTCAATATTTACTGCCAAACCCAAACTTTAGAAATATAGAGACTTCTAATTATTGTAAAATCATGTTTCAGATCCTGACAGAATAGGAAAGCCAGAACTCAGAGGATATTCACCACAAGATACAAGAGCAACAGTAGTATGGGACGATTATGACTGTGAGAAATACTATGTGAGATGGTGGATAGATGGCAAGGAACCTTCTGAAGAACAATGCCCAGTTCCAATGTTTACAATGAATGAAATATGTTCTGGCAGTAGATATAACATACAAGTAGCAGCATGCATTACAGAGGATGATACTGAGAAATGTGGACGATATTCGGAAGTTTTGACTTTTCAATCAGGTGTGTAACCAAGTGGTTTATCTAGGTTACATAGAAAAGTTAGACAAGTTAAGATTCCATATACATGGACTTGAAAGTTGAAAAAAGTATTCTTTGATAAGTGGTTACATGAAGCACTCTAATTTCTGACTGTGCTCCTGCAAAAAACCCACATATTAGTGAGACGAGCGCAAAAATTTTCTTTTCTATTATCATGTTCGAGATGTCCGTCTAAGGCTGTTTTTTATGAGGTGAAACATTGCTAGATTGTAGTAAATCTTCAACAGCATTCATGTTACAAAGTATAAAATTTAACTTCTAGTCAATGCCTATTATTTATATTGTGTTTCGTATTTGCAGGTCCGGAGAAGCCTACTGATCTTTTTGTACAGCCTCGACGCAAATCATCAGATACTTCATTCATAGTGAAATTTAATTATCAACAACTCCCAGGAATTGAACATGAGGTTTTCTACAGGAGCTTAACAACAGGAGAAATAAATAAAGTCAAGGCTGACCTAGGATTTGCAAAAATTGAAAATCTCACACCTGGTGATACCTATGATATATGGGTTGTTGCCTCCAAGGAAGGAGTTGAAAGTGAATCCTGCAAACTTAAGGATCCAATGCAAACATGTAAGATATATATGCGTGACTTTCTATGTATTTTAAAAAACAGCCAGAGTCATAGTAATAAGCATTGGAAACACATCACATATATCATAACACCACTGATGGCTCTACTAAAGGCTTGTAGTTGGCACATTGTAAAACACAATTTCTCTCGCACTGGTAACATGTTACGCCTTATGATTAAACAATCCTATCAGCTTTCTTCTGGGTTTAATATGAAAATCCCATCTTACCATTATGACATCTTAGGTCATTCAGCAGGAATAAATAATGGTTGGATTTCTCATACTTGGAATCAATGGACTGACCACGGACAATCACTCTATATGAAGCTATGTTATAGAGCCATATTGGTACACACAATCTGAAACGCCACTTTTATAACCTATAGCACCACATGTACTTGGAACACTTGCATTTGTTCCTAATTTTGTACATTATTTGACCAAATTTGGATTCCAGTTTATTTCTTTTACAGAGCATATATTAGGTTTTGACACCACACTTGCACACAGAAATTTGTATACAAAAAGAAAAATAAATCTCATTCAGTTTGTTATGAAAAGCATTTCATCCTTATTCCCAATACTAGTTCAATATTTACTGCCAAACCCAAACTTTAGAAATATGGAGACTTCTAATTGCTGTAAAATCATGTTTCAGATCCTGACAGAATAGAAAAGCCAGAACTCAGAGGATATTCACCACAAGATACAAGAGCAACAATAGTATGGGATGATCATGACTGTGAGAAATACTATGTGAGATGGTGGATAGATGGCGAGGAACCTTCTGAAAAACAATGCCCAGTTCCAATGTTTACAATGAATGATCTATGTCCTGGCAGTAGATATAACATACAAGTAGCAGCATGCATTACAGAGGATGATACTGAGAAATGTGGACGATATTCGGAAGTTTTGACTTTTCAATCAGGTGTGTATCCAAGTGGTTTATCTAGGTTACATAGAAAAGTTAGACAAGTTAAGATTCCATATACATGGACTTGAACGTTGAAAAAATTATTCTTTGATAAGTGGTTACATGAAGCACTCTAATTTCTGACTGTGCTCCTGCAAACCCACATATATTTATTAGTGAGACGAGCGCAAAAATTTTCTTTTCTTTTATCATGTTCGAGATGTCCGTCTAAGGCTGTTTTTTATGAGGTGAAACATTGCTAGATTGTAGTAAATCTTCAACAGCATTCATGTTACAAAGTATAAAATTTAACTTCTAGTCAATGCCTATTATTTATATTGTGTTTCGTATTTGCAGCTCCGGAGAAGCCTACTGATCTTTTTGTACAGCCTCGACGCAAATCATCAGATACTTCATTCATAGTGAAATTTAATTATCAACAACTCCCAGGAATTGAACATGAGGTTTTCTACAGGAGCTTAACAACAGGAGAAATAAATAAAGTCAAGGCTGACCTAGGATTTGCAAAAATTGAAAATCTCACACCTGGTGATACCTATGATATATGGGTTGTTGCCTCCAAGGAAGGAGTTGAAAGTGAATCCTGCAAACTTAAGGATCCAATGCAAACATGTAAGATATATATGCGTGACTTTCTATGTATTTTAAAAAACAGCCAGAGTCATAGTAATAAGCATTGGAAACACATCACATATATCATAACACCACTGATGGCTCTACTAAAGGCTTGTAGTAGGCACATTGTAAAACACAATTTCTCTCGCACTGGTAACATGTTACGCCTTATGATCAAACAATCCTATCAGCTTTCTTCTGGGTTTAATATGAAAATCCCATCTTACCATTATGACATCTTAGGTCATTCAGCAGGAATAAATAATGGTTGGATTTCTCATACTTGGAATCAATGGACTGACCACGGACAATCACTCTATATGAAGCTATGTTATAGAGCCATATTGGTACACACAATCTGAAACGCCACTTTTATAACCTATAGCACCACATGTACTTGGAACACTAGCATTTGTTCCTAATTTTGTACATTATTTGACCAAATCTGGTACATTATTTGATCAAATTTGGATTCCAGTTTATTTCTTTTACAGAGCATATATTAGGTTTTGACACCACACTTGCACACAGAAATTTGTATACAAAAAGAAAAATAAATCTCATTCAGTTTGTTATGAAAAGCATTTCATCCTTATTCCCAATACTAGTTCAATATTTACTGCCAAACCCAAACTTTAGAAATATGGAGACTTCTAATTGCTGTAAAATCATGTTTCAGATCCTGACAGAATAGAAAAGCCAGAACTCAGAGGATATTCACCACAAGATACAAGAGCAACAATAGTATGGGATGATCATGACTGTGAGAAATACTATGTGAGATGGTGGATAGATGGCGAGGAACCTTCTGAAAAACAATGCCCAGTTCCAATGTTTACAATGAATGATCTATGTCCTGACAGTAGATATAACATACAAGTAGCAGCATGCATTACAGAGGATGATACTGAGAAATGTGGACGATATTCGGAAGTTTTGACTTTTCAACCAGGTGTGTAACCAAGTGCTTTATCTTGGTTACCTAGAAAAGTTAGACATGTTAAGATTCCATATACATGGACTTGAAAGTTGAAAAAAGTATTCTTTGATAAGTGGTTACATGAAGCACTTTAATTTCTGACTGTGCTCCTGCAAACCCACATATATTTATTAGTGAGACGAGCGCAAAAATTTTCTTTCCTTTTATCATGTTTGAGATGTCCATCTAAGGCTGTTTTTTATGAGGTGAAACATTGCTAGATTGTAGTAAATCTCCAACAGCATTCATGTTACAAAGTATAAAATTTAACTACTAGTCAATGCCTATTATTTATATTGTGTTTCGTATTTGCAGGTCCGGAGAAGCCTACTGATCTTTTTGTACAGACTCGACGCAAATCATCAGATACTTCATTCATAGTGAAATTTAATTATCAACAACTCCCAGGAATTGAACATGAGGTTTTCTACAGAAGCTTAACAACAGGAGAAATAAATAAAGTCAAGGCTGACCTAGGATTTGCAAATATTGAAAATCTCACACCTGGTGATACCTATGATATATGGGTTGTTGCCTCCAAGGAAGGAGTTGAAAGTGAATCCTGCAAACTTAATAATCCAATGCAAACATGTAAGATATATATGCGGGACTTTTCATGGATTCTAAAAAAAAACAGCCAGAGTCATAGTAATAAGCATTGGAAACACATCACATATATCATAACACCACTGATGGCTCTACTAAAGGCTTGTAGTTGGCACATTGTAAAACACAATTTCACTCGCACTGGTAACAGGTTACGCCTTATGATTAAACAATCCTATCAGCTTTTTTCTGGGTTTAATATAAAAATCCCATTTTATCATTATGACATCTTAGGTCATTCAGCAGGAATAAATAATGGTTGGATTTCTCATACTTGGAATCAATGGACTGACCATGGTCAATCACGCTATATGAAGCTATGTTATAGAGCTTGGCTCATCTCTCCTACTTGATGAATGCTAAAATCCTATTCTATCTATTATGTTACCATAATGTGATATAGGCCAGGGAGCAAGAGTTTAAAGATAATCTCATAAACATGATCATTGTTATTGTTCCAGTGGTATAATATATTTATGGAGCTATTCATGTGAATGGCTACATGCATCTTATTTGAGTCAAAGGTGTAAAACAGCTGAAATAATTCGAAAAACTTTCAAGTTATAATATTTATTATACAGATTTTTTCATTTTGACAGCCTTGATTACCCATAAAATTGTGAATAACCGTCACTATAACACAAAAAATACAAATCTGAAACTGAATATTAACTAGTGAATTATTTATCAAGTGGAATATTCTAACTTGCACATAATTTCTTGATCCAGATCCAGGAAAAGTGGAAGGTCTTACAACTGACAAAACTTCACCCACATCTCAAATCATCAGCTGGAAGCCTGTATTTGGAGCAAATGCATACTTAGTTAAGAAGAAAAGATGTGATGGCAATTACGAAACAATTCGAACATTAGACACAGAGCTCACACTTTCGAATCTAGATGGTGGTCAAACTTATAAAGTCTGTGTTGCCGCAGAAAATTCATCAGGGATAAGTGAATTATCAGAACCAGAGATTTTCACCACTGGTAAGTCTAAAGGCTTAAGTGTGCTAGGATCAGTAATTTTCTAACATCGACTCAAATCAAATTACTGATAACAGCCATTCTGGACTGTGAAACTCATATATTTTAAACAAATGTTCGGCTGTATTGACGCAGCTATTAGTTTCTACCATCATTTGGTAATTACTCCTCACATCAGGTCAGTAATAGTGAACCACTGACCAATGCATGCTTCACAAGGTGACCATGTTGGTTTTTCTTCAAGTCACATATTAATGCAGAAAAACTTACCAACTTTTCACTGATAAAAATTTATTATAAGACTGGCCTTCATTCAATCTAAAAAACTAATGTAGTTTACTGATTTGCTGCTGCTGGCAACAATGCTGTTATGTAGCGTTTATAACATAACATTTCGATTGATCTGTTCCTTTCCCACAACTCATTTTGTTGTGGTGGTTCTCTTTTGCATGAACCAAAGTTGCCAAATATTATTTTAAAGAGTATATAAGAACTAGATGCTAAATTGTAATTTAATCTTTTCCCACATACAATGCCTAACAACGTCGATTTTGATCCTATCTATTAAAAAAATGTTTGCTCTTTGTGTTATAGGTTGTAAATTCGAACTTCATATTTATGAAGTTAAAGATTCCTTCATTTTTTACATTTGCTCAACTGGAATGATAAATTGTCAGTTACTGCTTGACATAAACCAGTATAGATTGCCACTTTTGATGAACTCATCTTTATATACTCCTCTTTATATAAAAATCTTTGTCATTCCAGATTTATTGCCTCCCAGACATATTTACAGGAGTGCAATTTGCACTGGGAATGATGTTTTCTTGGAAGTCAAATACACTGGTTCAGATCAAAAAATTGGTAAATATGTGATCACTGCAAAATCAGACTCTGGTGATTCTCAAACAAAAGAAGAAGAATCATGTCAAACGCTATTCTCAAATCTGCACGAAGGCCATTGTTACACAGTTTCTGTTCAAGCTGTTGGAACGAATGGAGTTGAAAGCAAGAAAGTTTATGCCGAACCTATTTGGATACGTAAGTTATTTGTCTTGTCTACTTTTACTTCACTTTCATTAGAAATTATCACTAAGCTTCAGTGATGTACTACATTTACCCGTTAATCACTCAAATATTTGCATCCTGTGGAAAATAATTTCACATTATAAAGATTTTTCTAATCTTGCCAAAATTGCCTGCATATGTATATTTACACAAAAAAAATGTTGAATCAGTACTTTGGATTAGATATGCACTGATTTAAACTTATTCATTACAAATTTTGTTATTTGGCCCCAAAAATGGCACAGTAGGATATGTTCATACAGTAAGCTTTTCCTTTTTGTCTCTGGGCGATGAAAGACAATAGAGCGGCTTGATTTTTTGGCATACTATGACTTCACATTCAGTTACAGGTCCATGGTATGGAATTGAGTAACCAGCTATTCATTTTAGATGCATGGACTTGATTAACACAAATGAGCACATATATGATGAGTTTCTTGGTTATTTGTCAGCCTGGAAGTATAACATCAGCAAACTAGTTCAATACTATATTTGTTAAAGAAAGCTGTAACCGAATTATGCATCGTGTATTGAACAAAATTAGAAGTTGTGACATAAGAGAAACATATACTTTCACAACAGGACCTGGAACTGTGAAAAACGTGAAAAGTGAAGCCCTTACAGGGAATTCGGAAAGAGTATACTGGGATGATGTGGAAGGAGCAGAGTCGTATTGTATTTTCGTGGAAAAAGATGGAAATTCTGTCGAACACAAGAGAAATGTGCCAGAAATTACTCTGACAAATCTTACCCTGAACAAAAGGTGCTCCGTTACAGTCATGGCGGTCAATGTAGGAGGTTTGGGGAAAATATCCAAGCCAGTTCATTTTATGACAGGTATGACAAAAGTTAGTTCTGCTGATAATGTACTTTGGTTTTGTTTGATTTAAATTTTCTTTGATTTGTTCAATTATTAATTAGCTGTGATGCTATTTTTTGAAACAAATAAATCCACCCATACTCCATATTCTAAAAACATTATTGAACTAATGATGGAATAAAATTTTTATATTTAATTTGTGGGAAAAAGTTTCATTCATATGGCAAACCAAAGCTTTCTGTCCAGTTACCAGTCCATGAGAATAGTTAGACATTTATTTGTTTGAAAAACATGAACCTTTTGGTGGAGGAAGTTGTAACCAGCCAGCGTGAAGGTGAAATTTTTTTGGTGGCAAGGAGTCATTTAAAACTCCTGCACATCATTATTATTAGAACGTTGAGCTTTTTTCATCAAGTAATGATGAGGTTTTTGGTATATTAACATAATTTGAAATTTTCTTTTTAGCTCTTTCGCCACCAGAAGATTTGAAAACTAGCAACAGTCCTCATCATAAAGAATCTGGAATCCTAGTCTCTTGGAAAGGATGCGACGGCGCTATAGAATATGAAATTGACTTGATAGAAGTTGCAACAAATCATCCCATTCCAGGAAAAACAAAAAAATGTTCTTATGAGTTCTATGATCTCAAACCAAGTTGCGAGTACAGAGCTTCTGTCAGATCTATCTCCGATAGTCAAAAGAGGAATAGTACACTCGCCCTATCTGACAAAATATGGACTTGTAAGTTCTTTCTATTTATTCCATTGCAGATTGACAAAAGAAGTTTTCTACTCGATAAACAAGTGTGCCATAAAAACAGGTTTTAATTCCTGAAATGATTGTTATACAAACCTTAATTGGTTCTACCTATTGTTTTGTCGTCTATAATAAAACGTTTGTGTGTACTTAATAATACTTTGTATCTAAATAAGCTCCTCAAATTCAGTTTATTTTATAAAACTTTGCTAGTCCTAGAAAATTGTGAGTAGTAGATTGAAATCTTCCGAGAATTCCAATTTTTAAAATACAAATTCAGGCCCCAAATTTCAACCCTAGTGACAACGTAATAGATGGTTTTATGGCGCTCCAGAAGTATGTGTACCAGATAATCGGAACAAAATTATGGCCATTCCTAACCTGGTACACACACTACGGCAGTACCTATTGTATTATATCTTTTCAACTGTACATCCTCATAATGATTGGGTAGTTCTGTGCTATGTAAATCAATATGGAAAACATTGGAATGTAGTATGTGTACCAGGTTGGGGTTAGGCTTTAATTTCAGGTACACTACGGGAGTCACTTGGCTAGTCACCGAACTCGTAAATAAACTAAAATAAGGAAAATTGGAATAAACTTATGACCTAACCTGGTACACATACTACGTTCCGGTGTCCGCCATCTTGTTTCACATACTACGGGAGCGCCAATAATTGAATACACAAAATGCACACAACGGTCGGAAGCCTAGATGACTTTTATCCGTCCTGCACATCGACCTGCACAAAGCAATAATAATCATTCAGTGGTATTAATGTTAACATTTTTTTTTATTGGAATATGTTTATAATAGTGTTGCTTTTTGATAATAAATCTCTTGCAATGTTAGGCGTTTTCTCTAAGCTTGGACATTATGTCAACTGATGTTTCTTAGAGAGCTAAACACTACTCATTCTTAACAGCATATACCAATCATTATTTAATTCGTGTCAAATGTACTGTCAGACTCATTTGTCTGAGTTTTCTGTTACTATACTGTAAGGAAACTAATAACGTGACCCGCCAAAAATTTATCATACATATTTATGACAGACTGCCCAAAAGTTCATGGATTGGAAGCAGCATACATTACTTTGGACACATTTAAATTGAAATGGAATCTCATATCATCAGCAATCGCATACAAGTTAAGTTATAAACCAGTTGATGGAAATTTTACTGTAATTGACACAGCAGTATGTTATAAAACTATACCAAACTTGCAACTTGGAATGCTACACATTGCCCATGTTACAGCAGTCAATGGCGCGGGTGCAGGACAAGAATCAGAACCTGTTGAATTCAAAACAGGTAAGAAATGTTTGCTCTTAATGAGTTCCGTTGATGAAGCCATTTGTAAACTACAGATTTCGGTACTTCGGTAGTATGTGAACCAAGATGGCGGACACCGAATCGTATTATGTGTACCAGGTCATGTCATAATTTCAGGTACAAATACTAACCCTAACTTGGTACACATACTACGATCCGGTGTCTGCTATCTTGGTTCGCATACAACAGGAGTGAGTACCCAGATTTCTACATATGCTTGGGTGTAAACACGAATTTTCGAATGAAGGGTCTGAAAATTAAAATTACACAGTTTGGCTGCAACAGCTAGCGGGCCCAATCGGAGGTCAAGATTCCCGAGGGTCTAAACAATGTATAATACATACAAAAAATCCTTTTCATTTTTTTACATTTGAAAAGGGGGGAGGGGGTCAACCTTCATTTCTTCCTATACTCATGAATAATTAGGGGAAGTTTGAATACAGAAAAGTTAATATCGGGAGAGCTACTGAATAGCCTACTTGACTCGAATAGGTAACTGGGTGAGAGGCTGTGTGAGTAAACTGTTTTATTAGACATTTGATGATATGGAATATTCAGGTAATAATTATGCAAAATCCGTTTAAGCAAACTCAATACGTTTTTTCTTTAGGAATGATGCCTCCTGCAGGTTTAGAAGTTACTAACAATCCGGACAGGCCGAGTACATCCATTAACTGCACATTAATTGAACCCCAAAACAAGCCATCATTCTATCAAGCAAGAGCAATTGCAGTTTCGCGACAACATAGAAGTGAAATTCAGAAAATTGACACAGATTTTTGTATGACCACAATATGTGGCCTTACACCTGGTGTTCATTATCTTGTTCAAGCATGGTCTGTGTATAAGGAAGATGAAAAACTAAATAGTGAAAAAGTTTCCTCTACAAAGATATGGACATGTAAGTATGTTGTTTAAGGACAAAATAGATACCAGATATCTACCTAAAACAGATACAATTGGTGATATGATTTTAAAAATGAGAATTAAAGTAAACTGTCAGTTTTATACTGTATAAACTCTTAGTTGACTGGCCATAACCTGACAAAACCTATTTAATTTAAAGTGCACAACAGCAAAGTGGGAAGAATATAAAATTTGCGTGGCATTTGAAATGTTACTATATTTTTATATTATATTGAAAAGTTGAGATCAACACTTATAATTTCCAAAAATGGTATAGGTCAACGGTGGGCAAACCGCGGTCTGCCGGAGTTTTTATGCGGCTCTTTTCACTGGCAATAATTATATACTATCCCAATTTGACTAAGAGAAACTAGAACGTAACATTTTTTTCAAATTCATTAAGCGATTGAAGAATATATATAAGATAGTTTGCAAAATTGTTATTATACGTTTGTGTAAATTTCATTTCAGTTCACGATAATCTAATATTATTAATTTCAAAAATTATGCGGCTCTCACATATTTCCGACTTGCTGCATGCGGCTCTTATACTAAAAATTTTTGCCGTCTCCTGGTATAGGTAATCATTCTCATTTACACGAATAAATACATGATGTACCAATGTTTGGGTTACGTCATTGTTAAAGGGGTACAAATCTCGCCCTTGTTCAATGGTTCAGATTTAGAATTAGTTAAAGTTGTTAAATAGCTTAATTCAAAGGATTTTATCAAAATGATGATCGATTATGCTAATATTGACTGATTTCGAAATAATAAATTTATTTTTCCAAAAATAAGATTTTAAAATACAAATACATAAAAGTATGTGATAAATTGATAACATAAATTAAAAGCGGAATTAAATTTTATATATTTTTGTGTTGTATTCAGGTCCTTGCAAAATACCCAAAATTCAAGCACATAAAGATTCAACAAGTTCACAAATTATTACATGGAATAAGGTTCCAGGAGCAACTTCATACAATATACAGCTGAAGAAAAGTGGAATTGCACCAGTCACACAATCCACAACTGATAATAACATTCATTTCAAAGATTTAGAACTCAATTGTCAATACAGTGTATCAGTAACAGCATTGAATTCTGGCGGTGTCGGAGAAGAATCAGACACACTCGCATTTAAAACAGGTCAGTAAAAATTTTGACAATGCTTTGGGACCTAGGTAGGTGTATACACATGTACTTTTGAACAATATTATTTATGCAACTTGAAAAAGGAAATGCAAGGTAATTTTTAAGACGTATTTTACTTAAAGCAATGTCAAACATGCCCAGCTATCACGATAAGATAAAATAATGAAAATAACTTACAAAGTGTTAAACTGACTAATCTAAACCTGATCATCACACATATTTAAAAATTGTGTCAGACTGCAATTTGAATAAGGATTTATTTCCACTTCAACTAGGAGATAGTCAACCTAGCATCCGCAGAAACGGATTTTTTTTTAACTGTAGCATGGATTTTCTGAGGTGGTCGCAAACTTTGAATTATCGATATAGTTCAAGGCCTAAATTATGAATCTGCAGAAGTATCCTTTTTCCGTACTTGATAAATGTTCAGATCGGAACAAATACCACGATGCTATTAGGTTTTTACCAAATATGCTTCAAATATCTATCAACGGTCACCTGGATCTAACAATTTTAGGAACCACTAAAATTGTATCCATCAGCCATCACTTTATGAGTGATTTTATTACTTCTATTAAAGTGACTGATAATTTTATTTGTTTGACTCCGATTTTTTGTTTATCTTTTGCACCTCAAAAGTTATATTTATACCAAATTTACAATCTTTGTATTGCAGCACTTCACCCAGTGGAAAGTGTACAGGTGGAGAACAGCATGAAAAATCCAACCACTGAACTTATTGTAAGACTTGAAGGATCAGAAGCATCTTCGACCTCAAAATACAAACTCAGATTTATCAACTTAAATGAAGGCACAGTCAAAGAAATTATAGAATCTGGAGATATTATTGAATTGAGTGGACTACATGAAGGCACAAAATATAAAGTAGGAGTGACTTCAGTTCATGAAACAGATGAAGAACTTAATAGTGAAGAAATAATGTCTGATCCGATTTGGACACGTAAGATATTTTATGAGTTTTGAATACAAATATAAGTATATGATGTATTGTTGCAAACTATTCCCTGGCCATTGAGTTGCATCTGAAACAAATAATAGCCAACTAACCCCATACATTAGCGGGAACCGGTAATCTGATAAGGATCCGAGGTACGCCATATGATTAAGCTTTCCCAACAGCTTCTTTCATTCCTGGTATAAATATGAAACTCCTATCCTATAACCTCGTTTCTGTTTTCTAGGTTCACAATCGCTGGTTGTTAAAACCATGAGCATCAGTCATGAAGAACAAAAATTCACGTGGAACGAGATAGGCAATGTATCAGAATATGAATTCCATTGGAGAATAGAACATCATAGAGACTGGAAACAAGAAATTGTTTATCAAGACGAATTTATTTTGGAAAACTTGGAACCTGGGAAAAAATATGAAGTCTACGTCACAGCAAGTAATGATAGTGGTGGGAGCGCAAAGTCCCCCATGGTACAGTTTTTCACAGGTAGGCAGAAGTTTGAATTATAAAAATATAAGAACAACTCATTTTATATTATATTTATATTTTTGAAACATTCACTTTGTATTCATAGTATTCACATTGCTATTGGATTGACTTTCTATGATTTAGAATATTATTTTAATAATATTGTAATATTTTATAGCATTGAAATATTGTTATATGACCTTACTGGTTCAATTACAACTTAATATAGAATAGGATCTAAATAAAAAACATAGTGACAATAACAACTTTACAATATGTGAAAAACTTATTTAACCCATTTTCATCACTTTTTTCAGTACCTGCTGTTCCAACTGATCTTCAACAACAAATACTTTCAACCCAAGAGGTCAAGATATCATGCAAATTCTGCGAAGGTGCAGACGGATATATTTTCAAAATCAACAATAAGAGTTATAATACTAAAATGCCTATGTATACATTGCAATGTGAAGACCTGGTTGATTTAGAAGTAACTGTGCAGTCTTACAATGCCGCTGGAGAAAGCAATTTATCAGATGTGCTGAAGTTTAGACAAGGTAAGCTATTTGGTGTACAATGTTTATTTCCATGACCATGTTTATTTCCATGATGTTAAACTCTTTTTTCAGCAGCCGATAAAATACAAAATGTGATGACCTAATCTAGATATCAGACCAAAATTGGAATGCTGTTTGAATTTAAAAAAAATTAAACATAACAGTTTAGCCAGCCATAGTTTCTTGGAGCAATTTGAATACAATTCATAACACAGACACTATAAAAGTCACAGATGTATTTGACCAATTTGTTTTTATCTCAACCCTTTTCACTTCTCAAAATCGCTTTTATTTAATGCACTCAGACTGTATTTTCAGCCTTTAAAATACTCTTAAAAATACTTCTCTGTGGAATATTCGTATAGGGTTGGGATTTTTTAGGCTTCTTTCTGGTAATATGTGTGCAACTATTGATAAGCGAATCATACAGTTTAACCAGCATTTCGAATCACCATATAGATAAAATTTAATCGAAGACTTTTCATCTCCATCTTTTGACCTGATATAGTTTGTCTGTAAAGATATGAATATTGTTTGCTTTTTTATAACCGTTGTGCATGTATTACTATTATTTCTGAACTCTCAATATCTGGGCAACTTTACTGTCTGTTACATGTATCCCTGTAAGACCAGACTCATTTCTAGTAAAAACTAGTTTTGTGTTATACATGAATAAGTCATTGCAGTCATTTATCTTTTATATACACATGTTATATATACATTAATCTATTTTACAGTTATCCTTCTTCTGCAACAAAAGTTCAAACAAATGGCTAAAAAGCTTCTAAATGAAAGTACATTCGTTACACCAAAGCTCATTAAAGTTCCTAGCGGTGATGTCATTCAAGACCTTAAATTGCAGGCAACTCAAATTAAAGAAGGAGATACAGTAATGATTATTGGAGAGAATTTCACAGGCAAAACTGCATGTTGTAGCTATTTCTTGCAATGTGTACCCAATACAAAACTGGCAATTTTTTTGAATTACGAAGAAGTGGAAACACTCAAAACAAAATTCAATGTAAAATCAATACTGCATGTGTACATGACTGATTTGTCCAAAGAGGAAATGGATATTGTTTTTCATTGGATAAAGAATAACTCTAACCAAGTTGTATTCATTGTTGACAATTTCCACTTATCACCTGAATTCAAGCTCCAGTATTTCCTTTATGAAACTGAGGGACTACCAAATGAAATTTTTTATAATTTTTTTGTCACTAATCGACAATTCTCCAAGTCCCAAGTATTCTGCTCTACATCACATGATCCGAGGAAACAGTTTTTGAAACCCACACTGTCTATAAATATTGAGGGATTTGATGATACTGGAATCATGAATATGATGAAAAACATTTTGGGAAAGAAAAGCGATATCATTGATCTTTCTAATGTTTTCCGATATTTTTGTGCAAACCCAGGATTCTGTGAAAGCATTTTGTACTGGATAAAGAATAATAAAATCAATGCAGATCCTGACTCATTCTCTTCCGTAGTCTTTCAACTTTTCCTTGAGAAATTGAACAGATATCCATTGGTTCAAAGGAAAGACAAAATCAATTATTTGTGTCAGAAAATTAATAATGTACCAAAAAGAAATGAAGCCGCTAATATTAATCCGGAGAAAGTAAAAAAAAATGAACGCAGGTCAAGCAGCCAATCACAAGTTGCAACATCTGTCATGGAATCGTCCTTAAACAGTGGTGGTCTCTCATTCTTGGAGTATGAAAAAAACTCCATTGTCAATGTAAAATCTTCAATCAACTGTGACAACTTGCAGAATTTCTTTACTATTGCCATGTATTTTGCATTTTTTTGCAAAGTGGACGATTTAAAAAAAAGATTGAAAAAAAAATCTTTGAAGTTTGGCTCATTTGCAAACATATGGATAATGATTGCTGGATTTTTAAGAGAAGAAACAATGAAAACGGCAAAGCAAATATTCGAACCAGCTGAAATAGTAATTGATGAGAAAGAAGTTTCCAATAAACGGGAGGTTATTAAGAAATTCATCAAAGATAATATTGCAAATATCTTGAAACAAATTTACATTGAACCACAAATAACTTTGAACTGGTTTTCAATCTGCAATGAACTTAACGATGATCAACTTCTGCAAATGTGCAAAAAGAAAATTGAAATTACGGACAAAAGCACAACTGATGAAGTGGATAAAGCAGCTGAGTTTTTGAGACAGCTACCAAATAAATTCTGCTCCAATGTGAAAGTGAAGTACACCTGTAATGATGCAACAAAAACATTAACAATAGACAATGCAATCAGAGACAACCCAAACGGCGAAGTAGGTGTTAAATATTCTGCTATAACTTCCACTGTAGTTTAGTTCAAAGCATTAGTTTGCCGGATTTTCTGTTATATTGTCAGGAAAAGGAAAAATTACCAGCTTAGCATTATGACATCAACATCATGTATATTTTTTATTTACTTTCATCATTCTACAGTCATTTTAAGTTTTATTAATATTAACTAAATATTAGATATATTTGTCTGTCTGGTATATATATATCAGATTTCGAGGGATGCATTATTATAAATAAATTACATTTAAAAGGATAGACAACGCATCTCAAGCCTCTGAGTATACTGTCATATTAGTAATCTTGGAAATTAAATTGTTTGATTTTTTCAGCAAATACTGGTGACGAGTGAAGGTTCAAAAGACAATTTTTCCCTGAAACGCAATTCCTCCAAATATCACTCAAGACAAGAATTGAATAACCGAATGCCACAAACAGGTAACACTATGTCCTTTTTGACATATTTGAAGATTTGGCAACGCTTAAACTTATGAGGCCCATGTATGTTATTGTAGCGTGATTGTAGAGGTCGATTTGGTCAGATCGTTGCATTAAAATCTTGGTAATAATCTTGGTAATAATTAAAATCTTACTAAATGGTAATAAAATTCCTAAACATTTAGTGATTATTTATCATACTCAATTAGTAGTGCTCAAAGAAATATTTTTGCGCTGTTTTGCGTAACTGATATTGCGCTAATCATTTGATTTAGTTTAGTTTAATTCTGAAAACCAAATACACCAAACCTTTATCACATGATGAACCGTTAACTCTGACCTTTTACTAAACTTGATCAGTATGGAGACAGGTAAGAGGTTAATTCAGCGGTTCCTTTTTCGTTAAACTTTTTTCATAACATATTTTCGTACGCTTCAACCCTCTCTCAAACTTCAATGGTTCCTCAGCTAGTATCATGTGAGAGGGGCACATTTACACTTTGGTACAGCTTCATTACTTTATGTGTGCATATATAAGCATTGTAGCAGTAATAATAAAGAATTTAATAGTTGTACAACAACAAATACTGAGCAAAATTTTTCCCCAATAATGACAAATAAATAAGCATTATTAACAGATAATGAAAGAAATTTACACATTTCAAGTTTTGGTGTTCAAACTTTATTGGTAGCCTGAGTCAGAATAATGGACATTGTGAACCGTTTGTTAAACTGGAACAAAACATTTTTAATAGATGCTCCAATGACTCCTGCGAACGATCAAAATGATTATGAAAATACGGATATTCAAAATCAATATGAAGACGGCACTGATTAGGAGGAGATTGAACGAAAACTATTTTCACTAAGCTATATTGAAAATATATCCTTGTGAAAAATACCTGGATTGCTTTATGAAACGTCAACAATTTTCAGTTCATGGTACTTCCCACATAAGCAGCTTGTTCTGTGTTCTGGCATTGAAAATTAGGAAAATGAGTTTTTATATGTTTAAAAGTTTTTTTACACATCTCATCTAGTTATTCCACAGCTCCACACTAACTACGGTTACAGCTGGGTACTTAAAATTTTAGAATGAGTGCAGCCTATCAATTTCAAATCGATGTATTATATGCTTTCAGTTCTTCAGTGACACAGTGTTTTAATCGCATAACTATTACTAAAAGTTGTGTGATATACTCTAAAATACGGTTGGGCATGGAAACGGGCCGAACATTTTGCCCGTCTGGGTTGGCGGGCCATGTAAGTGTGAAATTTTATTGTTTATTTTATAGTTATATTGAAGTGTTGCTCAATAGTGATTGTATATGTATATGTGGAAAGTATCACATCGTCAAAACTTGGCAGCTGTTGTTTTGCATAAGAAAAGCCACGCCACGATTTAAAAAAAAAGCTTGATAAAGCAAATAAGCGCAGCTTTCTCACTTTGATTTAATTTATGAAAAAAATGAATTTTAAGTAAAAATGGGTTTTTGAATTAGTCAGTTAATTTTGTGACTACATAAGGCATAGGGGTTATGTACGCCTAGTATTTGAGTGTGAAATTTCAAAAAATTCATTTAAATTTTACTTCTTTCGTTTTTGTTGTGTCCCAACACTAACCTGGTACACATACTACGGTTGTATCATAATTTTATATGGCCGAACCCCTTACCCTGCGATTGGGACATATTTGGATAAGGAGCAAGATCGCTTGCAAATTGTTTCATCATGTAGGTGACAGTGGCTCTAATAAAGTTATTGTATTTTATACATATAGTGTTACATTCAACGGTTAGAACTGGGTAATTGAAATTTTAAAATGAATACAGCCCAATCAATATATTATATGGCTTCAGTGAAACAGTGTATTAAGCGCATAACAATTACTCAAAGTTGTTGTGTTATACTCTAAAACAGGATTGGGCAGGGAAACGGGCCAAACATTTTGATCGCCTGGACTGACGGGCCATGCAAGTGTGACGCAAAAAGTTTCATTTATGGAACGATATTTACAAGTTACAAAAGCAAAAAACAATAAGCCTCGTGGCAAAACTATATTTAATAGCAATCAAGACAAATTATCTGAGCTATTTTTTTTATCTAAAACATCAAAATTTGATTTAAGTTTGGTTGTGGCAGCATCAGGCGGGCAAGATTGAATAACTCAATTTGGATTTGGCCCGCAGGCTCTGCCCATGTAATCTCTAAACCAATGTTTCCCAATCTATGGGTCATGACCAAAAAGTAGGTTGCCCGAAATTTGTTGTGGCTCGTTTGTGTTTTCAACAAAAACTGCTGCTTTTATTTTGTAGGAAATTTTATCGTTTACTTTATAGTTATATTGAAGTGTTGCTCAATAGTGATTGTATATGTGGGAAGCATCACAGCGTATAAACTTGGCTGCTGCTGTTTTGCATAAGAAATGCCACGCCACGATTTAAAAAAAAAACTCGTTTATGGCAAACAAGCGCAGCTTTCTCACTTTAATTTGAGAGTTAATTTAAAAAAATTGAATTTTATGTAAAAATGTTTGTTTCATATTCGTCAGTTAATTTTGTACTCACATACGGCATAAGCATTACCTACGCCTAGTATTTGAGTGCGAGATTTCGCAAAATTCATTTAACTTTTACTTCATTTGTTGTTGTTTACTTTTACGCTGCTTTTATTATTGTTGTTTGTCGTCTAGTATTAGTTGAGTGCGTTCGCAATCACTTTAATTATCACATATTGCGCACCACTTGTTTGTTTGTTGTATTCTACACTTCTCGGTATTTTCTGATACAGATATAGTAGAAACTGTAGTTTATGTTCAAACTACACATCCACATTCAAGTATTTACGCCCGAATTATCTTTCGTGTATTTTTTGAAATTTACATCAATTGGATTGTTTGGGGTAAGTGGGCACGTGTTTACGTCTCAAATCTCTTTCGATTTTGCCCACTTACTTATTTTCCGTATATCTGTTTGTTTTGCTATGTATTGTTTTGTTGTAACGAAAAATTGAAATAAACACTTACTTACTAAAAAGTTTGGATCGCTCGAATTTGGATCTAAGAAAACCCAATTACTCAAATTTGATCTGAAATGTGACTTAATTGAATCTTGGTGGACCTGTTATGTAACTATTTAACCATAGCCTTTTTACGTGAAACGCATTCATGTAATCTGCTAAGGTATACAGACTTTCGCCTTAGACACTCTGGCCAATAGACTTTTCAAACCACTAGACGGTTCGAGTTATGACTTCGATTTTCTTTTGCCTCGGAATCGTTTAAAAATAATGTATATGTGGATTCATTGAACGATGTTAGGATTGTACCAGTACCCGAAAGTTGTCGTGCAGTATATGCTGCTAAGACAACAATAAACATCTATACAAATGAATACTCAAATCCACATGTTATTGTGGATTCTCCAATCCCCAGACGGCTGAAAGCCAGAATCCTTACTAAAACCTTTCATACCACCTTGTGGTCAGAATAGTCAGTGAAGGATCGTCTGGGGCACAGAAAGTCTGTAAGCCATCTGCGGGTATCAAATGTGTATTCATTCATTGCTGAATTTTTTTTTTTATATAATTCAAATTAAATAACCAACGCTATCTTTGTTGTTATGTATGTTCTCTATACAACTTGAACAATAAATTTAACAATCACTACAATTAAGTTAAAAGCCAACATTCAGTAAGAGTATTATGTGTATAAGTTTATTTTGACTCCATAATTAGCATAAAAGTCAATAAAATTATTGACAAAAACAAAATAAAACTGTTTTCAGAATCAGTACATAATATAGTTTAGATTTGAGTATTTGCATCCCTTGCCTAAAGTGCAGTTGAGCAATAGTATATTTGATTCCTGCAAACTAAAGCAAATCATTGCAAAATGTTATCACCAAATTTGTGTGGATGGTTTATTCAATATTATATTAATTATAATAAGCATGGAATGACGACATATATTCCAGAATTTTTCCGATTGTTTGTTTACGTCAATCATCAAACGCACAGTGGCTATTCAGTTCACTGTTTTGCTTTTGAATAAATTGCACGCAACCTGATTGCAAAGTGAGACGCCCGAATAGTGACCGTCGTCCATACTCATGTTTATTTATTTAGGTTGGTGACTTATTTTGCTTTTATGCTTTGTTCTTTTTAGGTTGAAACACTTAAGTAAGTCGGTTAAGGGGTCGATGGGCTTTATTGTTAGTGTTTATAAATGCATCGTCGTCGTAGTTGATTAGCATAAGTTTTGTGTATGGAATCCATTTGCATTTAATTTACGTGTGTCCAAGAAACCTTCATCATATCGTTTCATTTCATTATTTCTGCAAGCATTCTACCAATATTGAGGCAACTAATTTTGGTAGCAAATTTTACGCCAAGTCGTGCAAAGGGACTGAAGCCAAAGGGCAGAGGGTATATTTACTTGGCTAACACAGACAGTCCCCGAACTTTTTTAGAACTAAAATGAAGAAAATCGGAATAAAATTATGGCCCAACACTAACCTGGTACACACACTACGATTGTACCATAATTTTTATATGGCCGGTATAAAAATATTTTTATATGGTGGTACTAACCATTGGTTCCCAACCGCCGGTCCGCTTACCGGTGACGGTCCACGAAGCTTTTTCCGGTCCGCGTAAAGTTTCGTTGTTTTGTTGATATATGCTGTCTCAATCGCTTCACCGAAGACCAGGTTGCGTTGGTTTATTACGCAATCGCGACATCTTGGCGCCAAGCAATCACACTTTTCGCTGTTTCAGCTCCGATTCATCACGAATGCGCTCCATCAAATCCCGCAGGATTCAGGAACCTAAAAATGGGCACGCGTGCTTTTTCAGTTCTGCGTGATTTTCCTGATTAATATGACCATCCAAACGTTGTGCATTTTTCTTTGTTTGAAACAGTCAAGAACAGTATAATATTCCAGTAAGATATGAGCTTGTTGTGACCATGCGGGTGGTCATGAGGCACGCAAAAAAACATGGCCGCAGAGATATATTCCCAGTATTTTGAGCCTGGTGCCAAGTTACCAACGACTTTGTCATTGTAATATAAATTCATTTCAATTGAGGCGTCGATCAACTGCAGAGGAATTAATATGACAAACCCGATGAAGAAGAGAAAGCTTGATCAAAATTGTGATTCTACTTAACAGTCCAGATTTAAAAAAAATAATCACTGTCGCAATTTTGGATATCTCTTATAACGAATACTCATCGCTAAGTAATCGAGAAATTAAACTGTTGTCCGTGTTTTCAACCAGTTGCTAGGTTATGCAAAAAAACATTTTCATCACTAGCTTTGATTAAAACGAAGAAAAGAAATCGGCTAAACGCCGCTGAAGAGCTACGTGTTGCAGAAACTTTTTTGTGGCCTCGTTTGCAATCCTATATTGGAAACGAAACAGCAGCAAAATTCTCACTAAAGTTAATTGTGTTTGTACACGATTTGGCATGTACGTGTTTTTTATGTGAGATGTTTCAGGCGTGCCTTTCTTACGCATAATGGGTGCCCAGCACTGCTTTTTATTACACAAATATATGGTATTATTTTATGTTTCACTCATTTCCACTTTTGGTCGGCACGTTATTTGATAGTTTTACTTCGTGTGAAATGTTTTTAAGTGTGCCTTTTTTTGTCTAGAAGCATATTGCGCACTCGACATTGCAATATATTACGCAAATATATGTTATTCTTTTCTGTTCCGGCCAATTTTTTTCCGGTCCGCGAGTACATTTAATTTTACCGGTCCGCCAGGGTTGAAAGGTTGGGAACCACTGTACTAAACTATAACCGTAATGTGCTCATATGGGAAAGTGTAGTATTATTCCTTCCACAAACTGCCGTAAAAAAACTAGTAGAAATAATTTTTGTACTCCGCTATATTCACGCACAGGATGCAACAGAGTATGCTTTTTATAGGTGTGGTACTATTCTTCAATCACCTCGAGATGTAGTCTATACCAGTGGTCTTCAAACTTTTTGAGACCCGACCCCATCTACAATATTATTACGTATGATAAGCACTCACGACCCCAAGTTATATATATATGTTCACCTACAGACACGAAAAAAATATTTATCAAATTAGGAAATTTATTAAAAGAACCCAACAACAACCATATTAAATCAGTGTGAAGAATGCGACTGCCTCCTTCCAACGAGATCTTGCATTCGTGGCTTAATGTTGCTTAAGCTCAAACGCAAATTGTGTTCCACGTTTAATCGATTTCGGTGCTTTGATTTTAGCAGACTCATAGCACTAAAAGTCAACCTTCAAAAATACGATATTTTTTTTTTATGTTTATCAGCCATTTAACAAATTGTAATTATCAATATGACGGTAGCCTGGAAAATGAGGCTTTGCAGTAAAAGCAACGGCCACTGTACAGTACATTCAAGAAACAATAAGGATTTACTTTAAAATATAAATTACTGTCGTTACGCAATAGCTTTATTATAAAAGAAGTCACTCCAATTCGAAATATCGGGACTTGCTAGCCTATGTAGCGTTATTCAACTTAACAGTGCAGACTGCACACTGTTGTGTATTTGTGTCATAGAACATTGTTTTTCACACGGACTAAATTTGTGATTATGATGTCATAATTAATTTATCGTAATTGCTCTTGATATTACCTGTCTGCGTGCTTGTTATTCATTCTTTAGTTTGAAGTATCTAGCGTTAAGCCGAGAAGTCACACACATAATAAAAATGATAAAAGAAAAGACAACAATGGGCACTCGGCGACCGCAGAAATATTTAAGGCGACCCCACTTGGGGTCGCGACCAACACTTTGGTGATCACTGGTCTATACAATAAGTCCGACAATCGCTACAATTCAAACTACTAAGCATAAATACTTGTATGTGTGGCCTAGCAATTTGATTCCTGCCCTCATCTTACAAGGTCATAAAATAGTCATTATGTCGAGTGACCAATACGCAGAGCTTTAATGAATTTATAAGTCAAGTGCACGAGGCCTTGATTCCAGTGGAATGATTCTCACTCAGGTAACCATATTGATTTAGAAATTTACAAACAAATTGTGTGGAAAACGATTGATCAATCTTAAATGAAACAGGCTCAATTTATCTTGACTCTTAACATTCCTATCCTAAGATTTTTAATGGAAAACCTACCATGTAATTCCTTTTGATCATGCATTACAAATTTACTAACCTCACTTCTAAGGTAAGTCACCTCCAATATACAATAAGCAAAGAAAACTTTTGTAAATATCCATGAAGTATAACTTGTAAGGAGATGTCTAAACTCACGCAAAACGGTTACATATTGACTTCTAGTTTGAGTCGTGACCCATAAAATTCTATTATATCTTTTTCGTGCTTAGAAAGTTGATATACTTTAATTAAGTTGATATTGGAGTGCTACCAATGTTCATATGTCAACAGGGGCGTAGCCAGGGTGCTGGTCTGAACCTCCCCTTGGAAATTTTTGTAAGACCGAAAAAGTCGCTAATAACGCGTGCGATCGTATTTTGTTAAAATCGCCGATTGTTTACGCCAGTGCCACGTGACATTTAGGACGTAAACGCCTTCCCGTTGGTAGTTATTCTCTCTGAATGATCACAAATTTGCATCAACATATGCATGACTTGTCACACGAAGACGACAATAATTACTTTTCGGTTCTCACTCGAAATTGTGAGCTTGCTGTAAAAAACGAGTTAATATTTCATAATCATCGGCTACGAGATGGTAATAAAGATAATGAAGGAGTGAATACACAACCCTAATTTTTTAATGAAAAGCACATTGTAAAATACTAAAAATAAAACGAAAGCAAACACCATGGGTTTGGTTTTACGAGGCCCTTGAAAAATAGAAATGCATTTTATTAGACATTGTAAATCGCAAAATTTGGTGCTTAATATTTTTATGGTCGTGGAATTTTGGATTAGTTATGCCTCCACTCTATATTTTCAGTCAACCCAACAGCAGGTTACATTAAACACAATTAAATTAATAAAGCAAGAAATTTTAAATATGCCCGTATCGGTCATAGATTGAATATTTGCGCAATTTCGAATTATACCCCTCGGAATTTACACGCATACGCTAATATTTTTCTAACGGCGATAACTTAATAACGAGAATATCGGTCAGAGACCGAAGACTTATCGATCGAAAGCTAGAGGACCCCAAAACAGCGCTCTTACTTCATAGTGACACTTTGTGTCCCATCACTAATTAATTGATAACTTGCTAATTATACGACATAATTCATCCAGAATCAATAGGTTTCTGGTCCGACATATGATGAATGCACCTGCAAAATCTGGAGCAGATTCAATCTCGCTTTCGTGAGATATCGCGTGCATCTAACAGACAGACAAATGCCTATCAACATACTTACCGATTAAAATCGATAAGTAATAATCGTATGTAGCAGTAAGCGCTTAAAGAATTGCTCAAAGTTGACAAATTCTAAAGTCGCGAAAATCCGAATCCAATCTATTAATGATCGGCTATATCAGGGATACTCAACTGGC